CACTACGAGGAAAGGAAGTACGACTATGCTTGCCTAATTGATACGACTCGCATGCCAAACTAGACAATTTAGATAAGGCAGGGACAAGTTGTTGTAACTTGGCAAGACTTGGATGACCTAACTGAGCATGGAGAAGAGAGAGAGACTCTATAACTGCACCAACATGTGTAAAGGGACGAAGATGATAAAGACCATGAGACTCACATCCTGTGCCAATCACCTGTTTCGAACTCCGATCTTGTAAACATACAGAATTGTTGGTAAAAGAAACAACACAATCAAGACAACGAATTAGACGACTGATGGATAACAGGTTAAAAGGAGACCCAGGGACATAAAGAACATTATTAATGGTTAAAGAAGGGAAAAGTTTAACAGATCCAACACCATGAGATGATACTCTAGATCCATCAGCTAGTGTAACAAAAGGTAAAGGATCAGGAGAGGATAAAGAGGAGAACAAAGATTTATTACCAGTAATATGATCAGTGACTCCTGAATCAAAAACCCAAGGACCAGAAGAAGATTGGGTCAGACCAGCAAAAGATGTACCTATGTGTGCGACAGACACAGTGGAACTAGAAGACTGTTGATTCTTATACCATTTGAGAAATTTGTTGAACATAGCAGGTGTGTCTGATGAAATAGAAGAAGGAGGATCCTTAGCAGATAAAGGTGGGGAAAGATCAGTCTGAGCAACTGCAGCAGATCGAGGAGGACGACCATGTAATGCATAACACTTGTCAATCTTCTGACCTAGTTTTCCACAATGTTCACACTCATGTAATGCATAACACTGGTCAATCTTGTGACCTAGCTTGCCACAATGTTCACACTCAGGACGCCATTTTCCCTGTTTGCGAGGGCGAGTTCGGTCATCACGGTGAGATACCAATGCAGAAGCAGGTGTGTTAGGGTTGGGTTTTGCTGGTATACGCAAAAGAGTGGAGCAGGTCGATGTCAAGGTGGGGACAACCGGAGAACCCAAAATCTGATCACGAATATGTGAATATTGATCAGCAAGTCCGTGTAATGCCCCTAGCATGAAGAACTTTGATCGTTGTCCTATCTCGGTGGCAGGGTCGGGGGAAGGAGGCAATAACTCATTGAACTCATGAAAAAGAGCATGAATTTTTCCCATATAATCAGTCATAGAATCTTGATGTTTAGAGACAATAACATCTACAAATTTAGAACAGACATCATAGAGATGTTGAGTATCATTGATGTATAATAACTTGGCATGTTCCCAGATTTTGGCACATGTTTCGTAGGAACGAAAAATTTGTTTTAACGAAGGATCAAGAGTACCCTTGAGAACCACACATAATTGAGCATCAATGATGTCCCAACGGTCTTCCTCATCAGGAGTGAGAGTAGGTGCTTTCGAGGCAAGATGATCAAGATACTTATGACTCTTAAGCCATAATCTGACGTCTGATGACCATGTGGCATAATTAGGGTCAGTTAACTTGTCAATGGATAAGTGCACATTAACATAGTTATTGTAGATGGAAGGATTAGACGCAGTACTGACAGAATTGGAAGTACTAAAAGGAGTGGAAGAAATCATAAAGGGCGGAGGCGATAGTGATAGCGACGTGAACCAGTACACCAGGTAAGTTCCCAGGAAAGAGAGGTGGGTCACTAATGGACACGCTTAAATACCAAGTCTTTCCTTGTCAGAACTTTCCTAGGCATGCACTTTCACACTACCAAATAACCAACAACGATAGCGGCGGTGGTGACGGCTTCAATAGTGGTCAAAGGCGGAAAAAAAATTCAAAATAACCTTAAGCTCTAGATACCATGTTAAGGTTCCAACATAAAACCAATTGGCAATATGTAACCTAACATGTATTTAAACCATACCAAATGATATGAGGTAGGCGATGTATGACTTTCAACCGTACACTTTTTAGGAAAAGAAAATTAAAACATAGTAAAAAGAAAAATTAAATGGTAAAATGAAGATAATCATTGAAGATAAAATTCCAAAAATGAATAAATAATTAATTATTATAATTTATTAATATATGGATATTATAATCAAGTTTAAAAATAATACAGTAATTTATCATTGTTTATTTCACTTTTCTATTTAAATTTTCTCTTCTTAACAGGTCAAGTTTATACAGTAGACCCACGTATCTATTTACCCAAAAGAACATCACTCCATTATAATCCCTCTCTTCATTTCATTTAGAATAGTATTTCTATAAATCAAAACAAAATAAATGATAATGACTTTCTGCCCCAAATAGTTTTAAAAAATATCAATTAAGCTAATTTTATTAAAATTATCCTATGGCAAATGTGTTTGAAAATACTAATTTATAAATAAAAAATATGATTTTGAGTTTTTTTTTTTATATTTAAACTAAAATCGTGTTTAATAACATATGTTTTTTATATTTAAAATGGTACTTAAATATGATTTTTAAGTTTTTTTTTTCAATAAACTCGTGTTTTTAATAATAATAATAATTATTATTATTATTATCAAAATTATTTTATAATTTATAATTATAAAAAAATATGTAAAACTATAATAATAAAAAGTATTAACAGTAACTATATTAATAATAATTATAATTATAATAGTAAATAAAAAGATAATCATAATTATGATAATAAATAATAAATATAATAATAATAATTATTATTATTATCAGTTTTATTATTTATTATTATTATTATTTATTATCATAATTATAATTTTTATTGTTATTATGTTTATTATTTTTATTATAATAATAATAATAATAATATTTATTATTACTATTTTTTTATAATAAATAATAATTATAATAATAAATTAAAAATAATAATAATATAGAAAAACGTAACGGAAAAATGTAAATGGTAAACAATAGTTAAAATATAAAAAATAAAGTTAAAGCAAAACTGTATTAAAAATAATAAATCGTATTTTAAAACATGATTCAATATATAACAAAAGAAAATAAAAATTGTGTTTTTACTTTACTGTTAATTAAAAAATAAAATGTGCTAGCACTTACATAATCAATTTTTAAAAAGTGATTTTTTTTAAATATAATGTAGAAAACTTGATGAATAAGTAAATATGATATGTTACGTATATGTTAGAAGAAGAATTTAGAGTGTGTCCATCCAACAATCAGCCTATTCTTCTTTCTAATCTTTTCTCTCTTGTCCACTTCTTAATTCTAAATCAATCTCTTTGTAATTTTTATCTGTTCCAACTTATTGATACCTCGATCTCATCCAAAATACTTAGAATTATTTAAAATATTTTATTCATATTTCATAAAATAAGAATATATATCCATAATTCCCATATTACAGTCTTAATATTACTTTATAAAAAGAATTCTTTTTCAATCATGATTTTAATTTTATGGTTTATTCTCATACTAATTCAAATATAAAAAAACCTTTTTACGAGAATTCTTCTTTCAACGTACTTAGAAAGGAGTAATGAACCAAGGTAACAATAATAGTATATATATTTTTCTTTATCTATTCACACGAATAAAAAAAGTTATAAAATGTCAGAATAAATAATTGAGTCCTTCTTAGAACGACAATATTATCACAAAACTTGTACAACTATGTGGAAGCAGAATTGATCAATGATTAGAAATGACAAAAAGAAGAAAATTATTATTATGCAAATGAAAATCATTAAAATTAGGGATGGTAAAGGATCGGCTAGCCTTTTCGGCCGTTCCGACCCGTTAAGCGGATGGACCAACTGTTATAATAAGATTTTAGTTTATTCTGTTAAGATTATTTAGTGGATTTACGGACTAGTTTGATATAATTAAAAAAAATTAATTTTTTTAAATTAGTTTTTTAATAAATTTAATATTAAGATTAATTATTTATTAATATATATATTTTAAGTTAATAATATAAATTATTGTTTTAAAAAATTATAATTTAAAATAATAATAAAATTTATATAATAATAAATATATAAATAATATTAAAACTTATTAAATTTATATTTTTTATATTAACAAATTAAAATATTTATATTTTTTGTTTGATAAAATTTTATATTATATTTTTTATGAGTAATTCTTATATATTTAAGAAATAAGAATAAAAATAATTAATATTTAAGATAAATAAATAAAAGACGATGAATAATAAAAAAGAAAAGAATTTGTCTTTGAATAAAAAGAATACTTTTTAAGAAAAATGATTTTTTTTTAATTTTTTTATACAGTTTTTAATTTTATATATTATTTTTATAATCAATTATATTATTTTTATAATTAATTATATTAAAATAAAAATTATTTTTTTATTAATTAAACCTATTGTAAATTAATCATCTTATCTTCAAATTTAATATGAGGGATCAGAATACGTTCACACATTCAAGACACTAACCCATCTCAAGGCTCTGGCCGGATCTGCCCGTTTTCATCCTACTCAAAATCAACCAAATAGGCTGGTAAATTCGGATGTGGTGAAAAAGAAGAAAATTAAGAAGAAGAAAAAAAATCCCAAAATGAAGAAAAGATAAAAATATAACATTCTGGTTTTTTGTGTACGTGTAGACTTATCTAACAAAATAAAAACAAAAAAAAGAGTTTATTTTTTCTGGAACTGAGATACGCACACGCTTGCGCAGAGATCCAAGTACGAAAAAGAGCAAGGCACAACCACAACCCAAAAATATTCTCTTTCCTCTTCTGTGTAATTCTAAGTACTTCGAGAATTACATTCGAATATATTGATTATAAATTCCAGCTCATTTGACTCTTACTATTTTGATTACTATCAGTTTCCTTGAGCAATTGATATTGTTTTAGTCACTTTGGACAAACAAGATAAATAAATAAATAAGAACCAACATTTAAAAGCTTCAAATAATTTAACAAAATTACTTAAATAAATAACCTTTTAAGTAAAACTTATATTAAAATATTATTTTTTATTGATAGCTTGATAATATATGAATTGCCCAATTAATTAGGAAAGCAACCCAACCAATAAATGGAATGGTTGCAATTACCTTGACCTTGCCTGCAGACATAGTTGTTGTCAGGAAAACGTGTTTTGTCATTGTGAGCAAGTGGTGTTCAATCAACAAGCCCCATGATGGTGGTGGGGTGTGGTGTGGTGTCCATTTTATTTGTCGCCATTCGCCAACACAATTCCCTTAACGCAACTTCACAACATCCAACGCAACTGTTGAGGAGGAGAGGAAGCCAAGTTGAAGAGCAGAAAGTTAATGGCAGAAGCGCACGTGCTGATCTTCCCTCTTCCAGTGTCCGCGCATGTTGGGTGCATGCTCAAGCTCGCCGAGCTTATCGCCCTTCAGAATCTCCATGTCACCTTGCTCACCACGGACACCGTACATAACCGCCTCACTCGTTTCAGTGACATCGAGGTTCTCTCAAAATCCTACCCTACACTCCATTTCAAGACCCTTTCCGATTGTTGCGACGAGGGTCACCATCCTGGATTCGGAGACCGTATCTTGGAATTTATCTCTTCCACCACTTTCCACGCTAAGCCCGTCTTGAGAGACATTCTGCTCTCCCACACTCCTCAAATTCCCAAAATTAGTTGCATTATTCAGGATGGAATCTTCGGAAGCCTTTCTGCTGATGTGGCTGCTGAGTTCAACATGTGTATACCAATCATTCAGTTTCGAACCATCAGTTCTTGTTGCTTATGGGCTTATATATGTGTTCCCAAGCTCCTCCGGTGCCAAGAACTTCCCATTAGAGGTATAATGTATGGACAAGTTAAATTCATTCATCTCCCTCATCCTACTACTTATTATGTATTTGGTATCTACATCTTACTCCTACCTTGTTTGTATGTGCTCATTCCATTTAATATTTGTTCCAATTTCTGTCTTATGATATCACCTTCGTTATAACAACTGATAGCTGCCATAATTTCTTTATGGTTCAGGTTTGATTCCATATAAGAATTTATTGTTAATTGTACATTCATTGAGTCAATTTGGAAAGGAATTAATAATTTATATGGTAGACAAGATGCAGAGCATCCGTGATGGGGTTAATATATAAGATGAAATTATTGTTAGGTAAAATTAAAAAGATAATTAGGTTAAGAGTTTATCGTGATAAAATTAAACAAAAAGATAATTAGGAGTTGTTGGACATTTTGATATTAATAATATCTTGGATGCACTACTACAAAATATACTTTCTACGTCGTTATTTAACGTCGGTTATAGCTGAGACGACGTAGAAAGTACTTTCCACGTCGGTTGTCAGATGAACCGACGTTGAAATTGAATATTAAACACATTCTACGTCGGTTCTTAGTCAACCGACGTAGAAAGTACTTTCTACGTCGGTTCCCATATGAACCGACGTTGAAAGTCTTTTTTTATTTTATTTTTTACTTACTGATAGCGGTTATAAGGGAACCGCTATCTAATATACACTTTAGATAGCGGTTCCCTTCTTTAGATAGCGGTTAATATGCACTTTAGATAGCGGTTCCCTTATAACCGTTATCTAATATACACTTTAGATAGCGGTTATAAGGGAACCGCTATTATATCCTCTCAATTATGATCGATCATTTCAAGTTATGATCGATCAGAATCTAATTTCGCTCGAGCGAGGGTAGTGTCGCTCAAGCGAAATACAACCCGAGAATGCTAATTTTGTGCAGGGGGCATTTCGCTCGAGCGAGAAGGGTGTCGCTCAAGCGAGATACATTTTAGATAGCGGTTAACCTGGAACCGCTATTATATTGTTTCAATTATGATCGATCAGAATGTAGTTATGACCGATCGAACTATTTTAATCGATTAAATCTCGTTTCAATCGATTAAAACGATTCTGCACAGCGTTTTAATCGATTAAAACTTATTTTTATCAGTTAAAATTACTTGAAAAGTGTCACGAGAAAGTTTTGCGAGTATTTCAATCGATTGAATCGCTGAAACAATCGATTAAATCAACTTAGAAAATTTTTTGTAAAGTGTTTTAATTGATATAAACGTTGTCGTATCGGTTAAAACAAATCTGTTAAAGAATCAAGAACGTATTAATGGATTAAAATAAGTTTTAACAGATTAAAGCTGCACTTTTAACAGATTAAAAAAATCTTTTAACAGATTAATTAAACCAGCAGTTTTGAAAATCTTCTATAAAAACAGTTTGACTTGAACTTTTTTAACATATATTGAATATATCATCTTTTACACATCCTTGAGCAATCAATCAATCGCTAATTGCGACCGAATTAAAGTGGGGGTTGGCTCGAGGTTAGAGTTCGACGTCACTAGGGTATGCGTTAGGGTTCGAGCTCCGCTGGGTTTGCGTTGGGTTTCACATCATGACAATTGGGTTTGGCTTGACATTGGGGTTCGATGTCGCCGAGTTGGGGTTCGGCCTCGAGTTCGTCGAGGTTGAGGTCTGGGTTGAGATTCGAAGTTACTATTTGACATTTTTCTAGTAGTGAAATTTACACGGATATATATTTATTTGTATATAAATATAATTTATTTGTAAGTTATTATCAAAAAATTCAAGTAGTTTAGTGGTTGGAGTATCGACCTCCAACTCTAAAGTACTTGGGTTCGAATCCTGCCAATGACAATTCTCTTAAAAATTAAAAAACTTCTAAAAAATATAATATAAAGAGATGGAGGACCTAATAAAAATATAATATGAAGAGAGGGGAGACTTCTAGATAAATAAAAGGGGGTAAAGGGGTTGTAAATAAATAAAAATTATTAATTTAAAAAATCATACTTTCAACGTCGGTTCTAATAAACCGAGCGTTGAAAGTTGACTTATAATCTGTATATTAGATAGCGGTTCCCTTATAACCGCTATCTAAAGTCTATATTAGATAGCGGTTCCCTTATAACCGCTATCTAAAGTCTATATTAGATAGCGGTTCCCTTACAACCGCTATCTAAAGTGTATATTAGATAGTGGTTCCCTTATAACCGCTATCTAAAGTAAAAACTTTAACGTCGGTTTTTTAGAACCGACGTTGAAAGTTACGACTTTCAACGTCGCCTGATACAACGTCGGTTTAATAACCGACGTTGAAAGCCTTCCAGAACCGACGTTGAAAGCTTTATTTGTAGTAGTGATGATTATTATTTAATTTTGAGAAGATAAGATAGGATTATGTAATAATATATAAATAGATTATTTTATTCCTCATTTGAAGTATGATAAATAATCAATAAAAGTTAGTTTTTTAAAATTCTTTGTTATCAAATTGATATTAAAGTCTATGTTTTTTTAAGAAGAAATTGGATTTTTCAGAAGAATTAGGGTTTTTTAGGAGAGTTAGAGTTAGAGTTTTTGAGCATCGGGAAAAGGTAAAGAGTGACAATGGTCGGTTCAACGAATGTTACGGTTATGTCCCAACTGACAAAAGACATCAGCTACAATAGGTAGAGTGTCCAAATGAATGTTCTCCTCAAAATCCAAAATTGTTGGAAAGTAGTAGAGAAAGGTTTTGAAGAATCAGAAACGACGGAAGGATGAGCGACCTCCACACTCAAGGCATTGAAGGAGAAAAGTTAGAAGAATAGTGCAACTCTGTTTACGTTATTTTGAACGGTAGAAGATTCCAATTTTAAGAAGATTGTCGAAGCTACATTTATAAACTAAGTGTGAATGACATTGGAAACAACACATAAGCGCGATGATCGAATCAAACATATTCTATTACAGACATTATATGGTGAATTTGAAGGCATGAGGATGAAGGAGTCGAAAGAAGTTTACGAGTATATCATGTGTATCAAAACCGTGGTGAATCAACTCAATAAGGATGAAGATGCGATATTCGAAATCATGTTGTACGAAAGATCTTGAGATCGTTGACCAACGATTTTGAGAACAAAGTATGTGTCATACAAGAATCTAGGGACTTTCCGAGCTCACTATTTAGGAGTTGGCCAATTCACTTAGAGTCCATGAGTATCAAAGGAAAAAGATGAAGGAGAAGACGATTGTACAAGATAAAGGCTCCTAATTCACAAAATAATAGAGGTAGAAGACAAAGACACAGTGGTCAAGGCCGAGATAAACGATCTTATCTAGGAGACCGAGGTGACGAGAAGGAATGAGTTCAACAAAACTAGTGACGTAGAGGACATGGTCGAAGAGGAGGTCGGTCGACTAGTCACTCAAATATTGAGAGCTTCAAGTGTGATAAGTATGACCACTATACAAAGGATTGTTATTCGGACAAATGTTTCAATTGTGGAAAAGTAGGATATTTTGCAAAAGAATGACAAAAGGTGGAAGAGAGTTATCTTTCAAAGGAGTCAGAAACTAAATAAGCAATATATGATGGTCATCTTAACACGAAAAATAGTAGTGATGTAGTTTAAAAAGATATCGATCACAAGTCGGTATGGTATATGGATACCAGTGCGAGTAATCACATTTGTGAAGGACAAATACCTATTTAGCAAATTAGAGGAATTTGAAGGCAATCATGTGTCTTTTAAAGATGGGTCAAAGGTCTCGGTAAAAGGTTGAGGTACTATTTGTTTCTTGCAAAATGATGATCTAGTCTGGTCAATCCGAGATGTGTTATAGTTTCAAATCTCAAGAGTAATCTTTTGAGTACGAGACAACGGATGAAGAGAGGATATTCGATATTCATAAAAGACTGAATACTAAAATTGAAGGATAAGATTGGAAGGTTAGTTATCCGAGTAAAGATCGAAAAGAATAGAATCTACAAGTTGTAGTTGAGAAGCATTCGGAAAAGGAATCTAAAATTAAATGTAGAGGACATGTTGAAGAAAAATCATCAATTTGGTCACATGCATTTTTATGGTCTAACTGGGATGATTCATGATGATGATCTAAATGTTTTAGTTGATGAAACGAGAGAGTGGAACTGGAGAGAATTAGAGGATGATAAAGGAGGTTGAACTACTACTCCAACAGTAGTAGCTAATTTGGAAATCAAGGAGGAACAAACAACGATAGTTGTGAAGTTGAAGAAGAACATGAATAGCATGGTGCTCGAATTGCCGAGCATGGAAGGGAGAGTTTGTGAAGGTGTGACGAAGATCAAACTTCAGAAAAAGTCGAGTGCAGAGAAAAATTCAAGTTAAGTAGTGGATTCTGAAGTAGCCACGTCCAAGCTGTTGTGGACAAAATGATCCGAGTTGTTGTGGACAAGAAGGTTTGAGTTATTGTATACGAAAATGTTCAAATTCTTATTGAAGAGAAGAGCCAAGTTGTTATTAAAGAGAATATTCAAGTTGTTATGGATGAAAATATCTGAATTATAAAACATAACGACACGTTGGTGATGATCGAATTGTCGAGTTATGTGACCAAACTGTTGATTTGAACAAGGTATTCAAGAAAGATGAGAAACTTTTAGGTTGACATTTGACTAAGCTCAATCAGGAGAAGAAAAATGCAAGGGTGGAACACCGACGAAATACAATAGAATATAGGGACTTGGAGAAAGAAGAAGAGGAATAAAGAAGAATACAAAATGATAGAATCCGTCGAGGTGAAAGGAAAAATTGTGATGTTTTTCGCAAGTTACTTGAAGAGCATGTTTTTGCTGGAATTCTTACCGCTAAAACTCAATGGCAGGAATACATTTTATACTTGAAGGTTTAAGTTAAATAGAAAGAACTTAAGCATAAAGAAGACAAGAAGAAAAAGGAGAAAGAAAGGGAAGAGAAACATAAGGAGAGAAGGAGAAAAAAGATAAAGATAAAGAAAAGTAAAAGAAACATGTAAAAAAAAAAAACGTGGAACTCTTATATACTATGAACCAATATTAAGTTGTTGATATTTTTACAAAGTCATTCATTATTTAATGTGTTATTTGAGAACGATAAGAGATTGATCGGAATAAAGAATAGAAGAAACTCGGATGTTCAAAAACTCGAGATATTGATAAGTCAGTTGAATTAGAAACTCAAAAAGTTTTAAAGATGATAAATTAGGAAGTTGGAAGATTAATTAAACCGATCTAATTTTTTATTACAAAAAGATATAATTTTACATGCTAATTTTTTGGATAAAATTAAATTAAAAATATAATAAAATAATAATATTAAATAAAATTTAAAAAATAATAAAAAGATAATTAATTTAAGAATTTATGGAGATAAAATTAAATAAAAAATAATTAAGAATTTGTTAAAATATTTTGATTAATGAGAGAGGTTATTATTTAATTTTAACAAAATAATATTAGAATTTTGTGACATAATATACCACTCTTCATTGTTATGATGGCTGGTTGCAGGAGATGAGGACATGGACCGGATCGTAAACAACATGCCAGGCATGGAAAACCTGCTTCGATGCAGAGATCTCCCTAGTTTCTTTCGACCGAGCAAAGAGGGGAACTCGTCTCTTGACTTGATTGCGTTGCGGTCCCGACAATCACTTGCAGCAGACGCGATTATCCTCAACTCATTTGAGGATCTAGAAGGTCCTGTCATCTCCCAATTGCGTCATCACTTTGGCAAAGTTTACGCCATTGGCCCTCTCTTCCACCATTTGGACATGAGAAAAGCAGAATCCAATAAAGGAAAAGACGTTCCTAAGTTTAAGAACAGTATTTTTAAAGTGGACAGGAGCTGCATCACGTGGCTCGACGCTCAGCCTGAAGGGTCAGTGATATATGTCAGCTTCGGAAGTAGCACTATTATGAAAAGGGAAGATTTGATGGAGTTTTGGTACGGTTTGATGAACAGCAAGAAGAGGTTTTTGTGGGTGATGCGGCCTGATATGGTGGAGGGAGAAGACAACCATGAGTGGGTACCGCCTGAGATGGAGGAAGGGACTAAAGAGAGGGGGTTCATAGTGGGGTGGGCCCCGCAAGAGGAGGTGCTGGCTCACAAGGCCATTGGTGGGTTCTTGACCCACAGTGGGTGGAACTCAACCTTGGAGAGTTTGGTGGCTGGTGTGCCCATGATTTGCTGGCCATACTTTGCGGATCAGCAGATTAACAGCAGGTTTGTGAGTGAGGTTTGGAAAGTTGGGTTGGATATGAAAGATGTTTGTGACAGAGATGTTGTAGAGAAGATGGTAAACGATCTCATGGTTCATAGGAGGGAGGAGCTTCTCAAATCAGCTCAAGCTATGGCTATGTTGACTCACAAAACTGTGAGTCCAGGTGGTTCCTCTTACTCCAGTTTCGACAATTTGATTCAGTACATTAAATCAGCTAGCAGGGACAATAACTAATACTGGCAAAATTCATCAAGTTTTCTTCTTGCATACATGGTTCACATTCTATTTAAGATCCTAAATTACATTTCTCTACTATATCGAATATGTTGTACTTTGTGATGCTTTGGGCTACCTAAGCAGAAATGGTGCTTTAAAACAACTACAAAATCGCCCCACATTTCATATTCACCAAGAAATCACTCTGCATGTGTCAAAAGACGGTTTTGCTAAATTGTTTTTGAACAAAATGATATTTAACAACTATATTTGAAAAAGAAAGTGTTACTTTTGAAAGTTGAGTTATTAAGTAGAAAAATTATATATATATATATATATATATATATATATATATATATATATATATATATATATATATATTTTTTATTTGTTGATGGTGTTGTCTGGTGATAAAAGAGCCGTTACACTTTTTTTTTTTGAGTGAGAAGTTACAATTATTTTTATCAAAATTTTGTCCATGAACATTATACAAATGTGCTCATTTGACGTTTTTTAAAGAACTTCAAATAAATGATGTTTATATAATAATAAGATCCGTTTGAAATATGTAATTAAAAAAATAAAACAATATACTAGATTAGTAATGGTTCAAGAATTACAATGGAATGAAAGTGTAGAGTTAAAATGAAGACACATGTCTCAGGAACCAGAAAACTTAAGAATGGAAGGCGCGTAGGTCAACGAGAATGAGAAGTGATATATAAACAATTCACTCTTCTCAAACATGATTTTTCTCGTGAATGTTTCCCTGGATCCTAGATTCCTTGCTCATGATAAAAATTTTACCAACATCCAAGTTGGCATAATACAACTCCGCCTATTAATAAATTCTGATTAATGATTACCAACTCAAATGATCAACTATTTTTATCAGTGACTTGATTTCCCGTTTTTAGTATGATAGATATCTTAATTTATTTTTTCACAACACTTATATATATATATATATATATATATATATATATATATATATATATATATTAATTCCTTTTTTTAATGACATTACTTCTTTTTTCTTTCCTTTGAATTTATGTGGGTATTTATTAATTCTTTTTTCCAGTTCATTTTTTTTCTTATTTTTTATGGACAAAGAAAATTATTATAAAATAATAAAAGTTACTATAAGAATTCATTCATTTATAACTTTCATTATCTTCTTTCTAATGAAAATTTGGTTATATCTTTAGTTTTATCTTATCTTGATTTCAATAATTATCATCCATCATCCATGAAATCAATTTATTCAAAAACCTTAGAAAGTCAATATCATTTATCAAGCTTTAAAACAACTTAATAATATGATTGTTTTTTAGATTATGCATTCGATTTTTTTACATATTTGATAAAGCATTCTCTAGATAAAGTGGAATAAATATATGAAATTATCTCACGACCAAATATTTTTAAGGTGATCTTTTAAAAAATTTTAATTTTCAAGTAGAAGTTGCATCTTCAAAACAATGTGACATAATTGTCACAAAATAATTTATTAAGTTAAGGGTTATTTGAGATGAGTTTGAAAATGGTTGGCCTAATCCACCTAAGTTCAACTACGGTGTGACCTCTTTAATCACATAAAGAAAATATAAATGATGCAATGCAATTCTTAAGAATGTTAAATAATCAATATAATACAATTCTTTTGATGAATCTTGTTTCACCTATCAATAAAAAAAATTCTATATCATTCAACAAGAAAAACATGTCAGTGAAAATATTTCAAGAACTAATATTTCCACTTTAGTTGTAATCATTATGGTAAATTCGATCATATTGAGAATACATACTATAAGAAGTATGTATATCTTTCAAACCAAGAAAACAAGAATTTCAAGAATGGTTCGAGTAAAAATGTTTGTACTCATTGTGAAAAAACCAGACACACTATTAATGTGTTACAATAAGCATGAGTTTTCACCTAGTCATCGACTATTGATGGAAAAACCAATAATATCAATGTTGTCGATACATAAGATGCAAAACTGAATATGAAATCACAAAATATGCGACTTTCTCAACAACAATACCAAATTTTGATATCCATCATCAAACAAACACGACAATAACATTTTTTAAGTTAATCAAGTCGGATCCATTACTTCATGCATTACTCATGATGACAAAAGCAAAGGTAAATTTCATTTCATTTCATTTCAATCCTATAAATATTAAACATAATTCATCTTGGATCCTTGATTCTGGTGTCATGGATCATATTATCTTTTCTATTTCAAAATTTTCATCATATAAAGAAATTAGTCTGATTATAGTTCAACTTTCTAATGATACTAAAGTCCCTCCTACTCATCTCACCATAGTCAAATTTAATAATATGTTTGTTCTTAAAGATGATCATTTTATTCCATCCATTTTTTATAATTTAATTTTTATCACTAAATTGGTTTCTTTTCTTAAAGTTGAGTTAATTTTTTATTCTAACTCATATTTGATTCACGACTTAATAACCCAAGAGAGGATTAGTTTAGTTAATGATCATCAAGGTCTTTATGTTTTTAATCTTGATGAAAATAACTTTTGGCATGCTAGACTCGGTCATTTCGATGATAGATTGTCTATATTAGGACAAAAACACTTTTATATACACGGTGGTAAAAACACTGGTTGTAATGCTTGTCACCTAATGAAACACGAAATATCACTTTTCTTGTTAGTCAATCTATTACTTGTGTTGCTTTTGACCTCATACATGTTGGTATTTGAGTTCTTATTTTGTTATTTATCTACATAAATATAAATATTTTTTTCCACTATTTTGATGATCATACTCGACTTACATGAGCTTATTTTATAAATAATAAATCTAGAGTTTGCACTCATCTCACTAATTTCATTACTCTTATGGGTAATCATTTGAAAATATATTATGATCTTATGATCAAATAATGGTACTAAGTTTATAATGAGAAATTTGTTTGATTTTAAAGGAATTATTCATCAAACTATTTGCAGTGAGACTCTCAAGCAAAATGGTATTATTGAGAAAAACATTAACATACAGTGAATATTGCTTGGATTCTTATATTTTACGCTAAGGCCTCTATCAAATTATGGTGTTATGTTATTAAACATGTTTTTTTATTAACCGATCTCTTACTCCTCTTCTCCATCATTTTACACCTCTTGAAAAACTTTATGATAAACCTTGTGTTCTTAGAAATATTTGTGTGGTTGGGGTTGCTTATATTATGTTAGTACCTCGGCTAATAACAAAAAAGAAGTTTGATGACCGAGCTAACCTAAGTATTTTTTTCAGATTTAAACAATCTCAAAACTCAAAATATTGATGTATCACGACATGTTATATTCTATGAAAATCATTTCCCTTAAACTCGTGAAACAAATTACACTAATGTTCATTTTCAATTATCTTTACCTGTATCATTTGATGTTATTTATATGTCAAATACTTTTAATAGCCGAGCTAATAAATAAATGGAGTTTACTTTTGGAAATAATAATATCATCAATGATCCCCTTCACCTTGTCCTTCAACAAGTGTAATTGTTCTTCAAACCATTTGGGAGATCAACATAACACATTAACTTCCACCCAACTTACATAATAAGGAAAATCATAAGGTTTGTCACTTTATAAGTCTCTTTATGAGCTTAAATAAGCTAGCCGACAATAGTATAAAAAATCCACCCATTTTCTTAAAATTCACAACTTTACTTTAGTCTCTACCATTCACTCTTTATTTTTAAAATTCACGCCTTATAGTTCAATTATTTTACTTATTTATTTTGATGATATCATTTCAACCAGAAACAACATGGATGAAATTAACATTACTAACTTGCTTAATGACACTTTTAGAATAAAGAACATGAAAAATCTTACATACTTCTTTGGTATATATCTTTTTTAAGGAAAATATGTCTTAGATTTTTTTACATGATGCTGGAATACTCTATTCTACCTATGTCTCTACACCCATGAACTTCTCTACTCATATATCCTTAGACTCCAATGGATCACTTACTAATCTTACTCGTTATCAGAGGGTCATTAGGCGGCTGATATACCTAACTAATACTATACTAGATATTATTCATGTTGTTCATCATCTTAACCAATTTGTAGTTGCTCCTAGTGCTCCTACTATTACTCACCATCAACCTTTCTCTGGATTTTACCTTACAGCCAATGGTGATTTACAAATTAAAGACTTTTAGTGATTTTGATTAGGCTAGATGTCCGAACTTTCATCGTTCTGTTATCGATACAACATTTATCTCAAACATTCACGCATTTTTTAGTATTCAAAAAAACAAACTACCATTTCACACAGTTCTCCCGAAGTTGAGTTTATACAAAGCTGTTGGGATCCAAGTGTGAGTTTAAAGTCTCACATTGAGTAGAAATAGAAAAGTTAAGTAACTTATAAATAAGAAAGACCATAATTTAACGTCTTAATATTGTCTTAATATTTTAGTTGAAGATAGAGTCGTAATATCTTATATAATTGGTTGGTTGATATCATTTGTGAAAATTTTCTTATTATTAATTCCCTTAAGAAAAGACCTAACTTTCATAATTTCATAATTTGTGAACCATGAACAACTCAGTCACATTTTCAACTACCTTGATTAGTATCTTGTCTCCAATTTTTATTATGACCGGCCTTTCGTCACCCTTTCTCACTTTTCTCTTTTTCTTTTTTTTTTTTCTCAACATTTTTATATGTATTGACTCATGGTTCCTTGTAATCAATATTTCTTTTTTTGCAAAATTATTATCTCTCTTTTCTCCTTCTTGGATCTATGCTTGTATGTATTAATTTTCTCGTTCCCGTTATCGATTTGGTCAGTTTTTTATACCTTTGTCTCGAGAATCACTACTTTCAAGAAAGCTCATATCACATGAGCCATCCTGTGTCCGATGTATTTGTCGGCATTGGCCATAAAAAAAAAAAAAAACTTGAATTGTAAATTCAAACGTGAACTTATTCTTCTTTAAATGGAGTAATCTAAATTCAAACTTTATTACTTCCAAAAACAAAGCCATTATTGAAAAGGAGAAGACCAATGGCAGGAGCACACGTTGTTGTCTTCCCTTGTCCATTGCAGGGCCATGTAGGCTCCATGCTCAAGCTCGCCGAGCTTCTTGCCCTTCACCATCTCCATGTTACCTTCATCAACACTCACAGCAATCACAACCGTCTCACTCGTTTCGGTAACATTCAAGCTCTTTCAGCGTCCTACTCCACCCTCCATTTCATCACCATTGCTGATTGTTATAGAGAGGGCAAGCACCCTGGATCCAGAGACGCTACCATGGGGGACATAATGCTTTCCACAACTCTGCATGCTAAGCCCCTCTTGAGAAATATTTTGGTCTCCGAGAGTCCTGCAATTCCCAAAGTTAGCTGCGTTATACAGGATGGCATCTTCGGAAGCCTTTCCAATGACTTGGCTTCTGAGTTAGGGATACGGATACCAATCATTCATTTTCGAACCAGCAGTGCTTGTTGCTTCTGGCCTTATTTTTGGATTCCAAAGCTCTTCGAGAGTAAAGAACTTCCCATTAGAGGTATATGGAGATCTCAGATCAATTATTTTATTCTCGCACTCCACTTAATCTTACCTACATTCCATTTAGTATACATATACCAACTTCTCTGATTCGAAATCGAACTCAATACTAAGACTCTCTTGGTGTATATATACCTACCTCTGTTGCTGAGAAACTACAGAACACAAGACAAATTATTCCCTCAGAAAGTTGTATTTATTGTAAATTAATTAAGAATGTAACTGGTTGTAGGAGATGGGGACATGGATCGCACCATAAGCAATATACCAGGCATGGAAAACTTGCTTCGCTGTAGAGATCTCCCTAGTTTCTGCAGACCAGGCGCAAAAGGTGATAAAAATATTTCCAAAAACCCCTGTCTTGTATTGAATATGATAGCACAATATATATATGAAATACAGAAACATTCTAGGCTATAATTACGCTAACCATTATAGTCGGTATCCTAAATTTGTCTATTAACAGATATGACATTAATGTGCATCACTGTGCATCGCTGTCATGCCAAGCTAAATATGGAAAAAATTAATCATGTAGAATCATGACATGATATGGTATTTGTAATCGTATATTCTATGTTTATCACCCTCCCTCAAGATGGAGTATGAAGGTTATGAATGCCCAACTTGCCCAAAAAAGAACAAAATTTAGTGGCGCCAAGAGATTTGGTGAAGAGATCAGCCAGTTGATGATGAGTGGACACATAGGAGGGTTGGATATGATTGTGTTGTATTTCATCACGAATAAGATGACAATCCACTTCAATATGTTTTGTCCGTTCATGAAACACAGGATTCTTGGCAATGTGAAGGGCAGACTTGGTTGTCACAGAGAGAGTCATAGGGTCTGTGTGAGTAATGCCTAGGCTCGAAAGAAGGCCTTGAAGCCATTTCAACTCACATGTCGTGTTGGCCATAGAACGATATTCCGCCTCGCCGGATGATCGAGAAACCGTATGTTGCTTCTTGGTTTTCCAGAAACGGGGATTGACCAAGGAAAATAAACCAACCTGTGAGAGATCTTCGAGTGAGAGGACAACTTGCCCAATCCGAGTCACACCAACCATAAAGACGAAGGTCACTCTCTCTTTTAAAAGCACACCCCGACCCGGGCTGCCCTTTAAATAGCGTACCACGCGGAGTGCAGCCCGCCAATGCTCCCGACGCGGTTGGTGCATGAATTGAGATAGGACATGAACACCGTAAGATAATTCGAGTCGTGTAAAACACAAGTAAATAAGGCGACCGACGAGACGTCGATATTGACTCGGTCGAAAGTAGTTCGCCATCGCCCAATGCTAAACGATGATTTTCTTCGATTGGCGTGGACACAAGTTTCCTCCAAGCAATCCCGCTTCAGCCTATGATGTCCAACGCATACTTCCGTTGACACAAGAAAATTCCCGTAGGAGATCCGGCAACCTCCACCCCAAGAAAGTATTTTAATTTCCCTAAGTCCTTCATACGAAAACATTGATGAAGATAATCTTTGAATTGCGCAATGTCTTCATGATGATTGCCAGCAATGACTAGGTCATCCACGTAAACTAACACAACCAGCTCGACATCTCCTTTGCGAAAGATGAACAAGGAGTGATCGACGAAGAACGTTGAAACCCATATTGAACAAGAGCAGCTTGAGAGCTTGGCAAACCAACACCGAGGAGCTTGACGAAGACCATAAAGGGACTTGCTGAGACGACACACCATACCCTTTCGAGACACCAAGAACCCCGGCGGCATTTTCATGTACACATCTTCCTCAAGATCGCCGTGCGTAAAAGCATTATGGACATCCATTTGATGGAGTTCCCAGCCTTTGGCTACCGCCACCGCCAACACCGTCCGAATGGTGACCATCTTTGCCACTCGGGCAAAGGTCTCGTCATAGTCAATCCCCTCAACTTGGTGATTTCCCAAGACAACTAATCGGGCTTTGAAGCGTTCAACGCTCCCATCGAATGATATTTGATTTTATAAATCCACTTGCAACCCGGAGGCTTCTTCCCTACTGGTAGAGGAGTAATGTCCCATGTTTCATTACTTTGGAGGGCCTCGAATTTCACTAGCCATGGCATCTCTCCATCTAACATCCCGAACAGCCTTCAAAGAAATGCACGAGTTCTCTCTCCGCATGAAGTGGCCGCAAGAAAGGTTCGGTGGGGGAAGGAGAATTTAGCACAATTTAAGTACTTTGTCAAACCGTAAGGCATACCCGAGGAAGCCGAATGTGGAGTGCGAATCGAGGGACCGAGTTGTAAAGTGGTGTTAGTGACATAATCACGAAGCTTCACAGTATGGCTTTCGTACACGAAGACCTTTCCCTGTGGATGCAGGGACAAGTATGCTCCTCAGGAACCTCTAGTTCTCGTCATCATAGAGTCGCTTGTTCCGGTGGGAGAACGATCCGGGTGGGAGGCTCTTGTTCATGGCATTCAGCCGTGGCCCTCCCCGAACTCGGCCATGGGCACATCTTCTGCTGTGGGGTTAACGTCATCAGCCTCCACAACGTGTTCTCGCATTGTTCATTGCACCAAGTCCAGGCAATGCTTCCTCGACAATGCCAACATCAACAGTAGGCAATCCTACCTCCGAATGTCTACTGTGGGCAAGAGAGGCAAACTGGAATTCATGTTCTACAAACTTAACATCTCTCGAAGTCCGAAGACTTCTCTTTCCAGCATCAAACAATTTCCAACTCTTTTTTCGATTGAATATCCAACAAATACATTCTTGCGACTTCTACTTGCAAATTTGTCACCTTTCCTATCTTGGTTATGTGCATAACACAAGCATCCAAATACCCGTAGATGGTCATAAGTGGGTGGCTTCCCATTCAATATTTCATATGGAGTTTTTCCATGGAGAACGGCTGAGGGTGTACGATTGATCAAGTATCCTCGCGATCAAAATGCATTCTCCCTGAATTGAAGTGGAAGTTCTCCCCGAAATCGTAGAGCACGAGCTACATTTAGGATGTGTCGATGTTTTCGTTCGGCTCTCCCATTTTGCCGAGGTGTTCCAGTGGCATGAGGTTTGATGGAGTATCCCATGTTGCTGAAAATATCGTTGAAGACACATAAACTCAGCTCCATTGTCACTTCGTAATATTTTGACTTGTTTCTCGTATTGTCGTTCTATTAAGGCGATGAAATGCATTAAGGTTTGTGACACATCTTTCTTATTATTCAAGAGATATATCCACACAGACTCGAGAACAGTCATCAACCAAAGTGAGAAAGTAAGATGCACCACAAGACGAGGGAGTTCTATATGGACCCCATAAATCACAATGTATTAAATCAAATATATTGGATGCTTGAAAATCACTTAAAGGAAATGTGTTTCGCATTGCTTTGATCTCTCACACACTTCACACACATGAGTTGTATCCGTATTTCTATTCACGCTGTTCGGATGCGGAATTTTTCTAACAACTGGTAGGCAAGATGTCCCATTCGCTTGTGCCAAATCTCTAGTTGATTTTCTCGCATTGGTCCGATACGCCTTTATGCCACTCACACCACGATACCAATAGAGTCCCTCTTTTCGTTCACCCGCTCCAATCAAGCATCCTCGAAGTGTGGTCCCGCATTGCACAAAATCTATCAAGAAATGTACCGTACATTTTACTTCATTCGTCAATTGTGATACTGAAATCAAATTGCAATTCAATTTCGAACATATAGAACATGTTTAAGTTTCAGTCCTCCATCAAGGAAAACCGATCCTTCTTTGTTTGCCAAGCACCAATTCACCATTTGGTAGTCCCACTGGGCACCCTTCCAAGGCTCGACTCTCCTCAAGTTTTCTAGTGTTCCCGTCATATGATTAGAGGCGCCACTATCAATAATCCACAAGTCACATGCTTTCTTACCAGCTCATCTTTTCAGCTTCATTTGCCTTGCGAGAATTCAACATTGCTCGCCAAGATCCGCCATTGCTCATTACTCAGCCCCGCGACTTCGGTTTTTCGGTTGAACCAACGTTATCCGCACCAGTGTGCGCCATATTGACGCGAGCCGTTCCTCCTTTTCCTCGAAGGTTCCCTGTTCTTTGTTGATTTTTTTCATCGTTTCTATCGGTTCGTGGTCTCTCTCCCCACCATTCTGGGTAACCAATGATCTTGAAGCAATTGCCTTTGTCATGTCCCTTCCTTCCACACCGCATGCAAACAACTGATTTTTCTTTCGCTTCATTGCGCAACTTGTTCCTCGGTTTCCGCTCGCATAGCCATTCCCACGATCATTCCTCGCTCTTCTTTAAACCTGGTGATTGTTCTCACCCTTTCTTCTTGCACCATGGTGCCATACACCCGATTCAACGAGGGTAATGGATCTCGTTGCCAAAACATTTGACCGTGCAGTTCCATAGCCCTCATCATCTAGCCCCATCAAGAACTCGATGAATTTTTTCTTCTTCTCTTCGTTTCTCAAGTTGCGTCATAATATTACACTTGCATCCCCCACATCTACACCGTGGGATTTGCTCGTAATTTGCCAGCTCATCCCACAACGTTTTCAACTTCCCATAATAGGAAACCATAGTCATTCCTTGTTGTTTGCATTCTGCCAACTCTGACTTTAGCTGCTGGATTCTTGGTCCGTTCACGATCGAGAATCGTTCCTTGATGTCATCCCATAGGTCCTTTGCGTTTTCCATGTATGCAACAGTGGAACGCAAACTAGGTTCTATAGTGTTTAGTATCCAAGATACAAGCATCGATTGAATTGTCCACCAATCTTCTATCTCAGATGTGTCTTCTTCAGGTTCCTTATGAGTTCCATCTATAAAACCCCATTTCATCACGAATAAGATGACAATCCACTTCAATATGTTTTGTCCGTTCATGAAACACAGGATTCTTGGCAATGTGAAGGGCAGCTTGGTTGTCACAGTAGAGAGTCATAGGGTCGGTGTGAGTAATGCCTAGGCTCGAAAGAAGGCCTTGAAGCCATTTCAACTCACATGTCGTGTTGGCCATAGAACGATATTCTGCCTCAGCGGATGATCGAGAAACCGTATGTTGCTTCTTGGTTTTCCAAGAAACGGGGGATTGACCAAGGAAAATAAACCAACCGGTGAGAGATCTTCGAGTGAGAGGACAACTTGCCCAGTCCGAGTCACATCAACCATAAAGACGAAGGTCACTCTCTCTTTTTAAAAGCACACCCTGACCTGGGCTGCCCTTTAAATAGCGTACCACGCGGAGTGCAGCCCGCCAATGCTCCCGACGCGGTTGGTGCATGAATTGAGATAGGACATGAACACCGTAAGATAATTCAGGTCGTGTAAAACACAAGTAAATAAGGCGACCGACGAGACGTCGATATTGACTCGGTCGAAAGTAGTTCGCCATCGCCCAATGCTAAACGATGATTTTCTTCGATTGGCGTGGACACAGGTTTCCCTCCAAGCAATCATGCTTCAGCCTATGATGTCCAACGCATACTTCCGTTGACACAAGAAAATTCTTGTAGGAGATCCGGCAACCTCCACCCCAAGAAAGTATTTTAATTTCCCTAAGTCCTTCATACGAAAACATTGATGAAGATAATCTTTGAATTGCGCAATGTCTTCATGATGATTGCCAGCAATGACTAGGTCATCCACGTAAACTAACACAACCAGCTTGACATCTCCTTTGCGAAAGATGAACAAGGAGTGATCGACGAAGAACGTTGAAACCCATATTGAACAAGAGCAGCTTGAGAGCTTGGCAAACCAACACCGAGGAGCTTGACGAAGACCATAAAGGGACTTGCGGAGACGACACACCATACCCTTTTGAGACACCAAGAACCCCGACGGCATTTTCATGTACACATCTTCCTCAAGATCGCCGTGCGTAAAAGCATTATGGACATCCATTTGATGGAGTTCCCAGCCTTTGGCTACCGCCACCGCCAACACTCGTCCGAATGGTGACCATCTTTGCCACTCGGGCAAAGGTCTCGTCATAGTCAATCCCCTCAACTTGGTGATTTCCCAAGACAACTAATCGGGCTTTGAAGCGTTCAACGCTCCCATCGAATGATATTTGATTTTATAAATCCACTTGTAACCCGTAGGCTTATTCCCCGCTGTAGAGGAGTAATGTCCCATGTTTCATTACTTTGGAGGGCCCGAATTTCACTAGCCATGGCATCTCTCCATCTAACATCCCGAACAGCCTTCAAAGAAATGCACAGGTTCTCTCTCGCATGAAGCGGCCGCAAGAAAGGTTCTGTGGGGAAGGAGAATTTAGCACAATTTAAGTACTTTGTCAAACTCGTAAGGCATACCCGAGGAAGCCGAATGTGGAGTGCGAATTGAGGGACCGAGTTGTAAAGTGGTGTTAGTGACATAATCACGAAGCTTCACGGATGGCTTTCGTACACGAAGACCTTTCCCCGTGGATGCAGTGGACAAGATGCTCCTCAGGAACCTCTAGTTCCGTCATCATAGAGTCGGCTTGTTCCGGTGGGAGAACGATCCGGGTGGGAGGCTCTTGTTCATGGCATTCAGCCGTGGCCCTCCCCGAACTCGGCCGTGGGCACATCTTCCGTCGTGGGGTTAACGTCATCGGCCTCCACAACGTGTTCTCGCATTGTTCATTGCACCAAGTCCAGGCAATGCTTCCTCGACAATGCCAACATCAACAAGTAGGCAATCCTACCTCCGAATGTCTACTCGTGGGCAAGAGAGGCAAACGGAATTCATGTTCTACAAACTTAACATCTCTCGAAGTCCGAAGACTTCTCTTTCCAGATCAAACAATTTCCAGCCCTTTTTTCGATTGAATATCCAACAAATACATTCTTGCGACTTCTACTTGCAAATTTGTCACCTTTCCTATCTTGGTTATGTGCATAACACAAGCATCCAAATACCCGTAGATGGTCATAAGTGGGTGGCTTCCCATTCAATATTTCATATGGAGTTTTTCCATGGAGAACGGTTGAGGGTGTACGATTGATCAAGTATCCTCGCGGTCAAAATGCATTCTCCCCGAATTGAAGTGGAAGTTCTCCCCGAAATCGTAGAGCACGAGCTACATTTAGGATGTGTCAATGTTTTCGTTCGGCTCTCCCATTTTGCCGAGGTGTTCCAAAGGCATGAGGTTTGATGGAGTATCCCATGTTGCTCGAAAATATCGTTTGAAGACACATAAACTCAGTTCCATTGTCACTTCGTAATATTTTGACTTGTTTCTCGTATTGTCGTTCTATTAAGGCGATGAAAAGCATTAAGGTTTGTGACATATCTTTCTTATTATTCAAGAGATATATCCACACAGCTCGAGAACAGCTCATCAACCAAAGTGAGAAAGTAAGATGCACCACAAGACGAGGGAGTTCTATATGGACCCCATAAATCACAATGTATTAAATCAAATATATTGGATGCTTGAAAATCACTTAAAGGAAATGTGTTTCTGCATTGCTTTGATCTCTCACACACTTCACACACATGAGTTGTATCCGTATTTCTATTCACGCCGTTCGGATGCGGAATTTTTCTAACAACTGGTAGGCAGGATGTCCCATTCGCTTGTGCCAAATCTCTAGTTGATTTTCTCGCATTGGTCCGATACGCCTTTATGCCACTCACACCACGATACCAATAGAGTCCCTCTTTTCGTTCACCCGCTCCAATCAAGCATCCTCGAAGTGTGGTCCCGCATTGCACAAAATCTATCAGTGAAATGTACCGTACATTTTACTTCATTCGTCAATTGTGATACTCGAAATCAAATTGCAATTCAATTTCGGAACATATAGAACATGTTTAAGTTTCAGTCCTCCATCAAGGAAAACCGATCCTTCTTTGTTTGCCAAGCACCAATTCACCATTTGGTAGTCCCACTGGGCACCCTTCCAAGGCTCGACTCTCCCTCAAGTTTTCTAGTGTTCCTGTCATATGATTAGAGGCGCCACTATCAATAATCCACAAGTCACATGCTTTCTTACCAGCTCATCTTTTCAGCTTCATTTGTCTTGCGAGAATTCAACATTGCTGTCAAGATCTGCCATTGCTCATTACTCAGCTCCCGCGACTTCGGTTTTTCGGTTGAACCAACGTTATCCGCACCAATGTGCGCCATATTGACGCGAGCCGTTCCTCCTTTTCCTCGGAAGGTTCCTGTTCTTTGTTGATTTTTTTCATCGTTTCTATCGGTTCGTGGTCTCTCTCCCCACCATTCTGGGTAACCAATGATCTTGAAGTAATTGCCTTTGTCATGTCCCTTCCTTCCACACCGCATGCAAACAACTCGATTTTTCTTTCGCTTCATTGCGCAACTTGTTCCCGGTTTCCGCTCGCATAGTCATTCCCACGATCATTCCTCGCTCTTCTTTAGACCTGGTGATTGTTCTCACCCTTTCTTCTTGCACCATGGTGCCATACACCCGATTCAACGAGGGTAATGGATCTGTTGCCAAAACATTTGACCTTGCAGTTCCATAGCCCTCATCATCTAGCCCCATCAAGAACCGATGAATTTTTTCTTCTTCTCTTCGTTTCTCAAGTTGCGTCATAATATTACACTTGCATCCCCCACATCTACACCGTGGGATTTGCTCGTAATTTGCCAGTTCATCCCACAACGTTTTCAACTTCCCATAATAGGAAACCATAGTCATTCCTTGTTGTTTGCATTCCGCCAACTCGACTTTAGCCAGCTGGATTCTTGGTCCGTTCACGATCGAGAATCGTTCCTTGATGTCATTCCATAGGTCCTTTGCGTTTTCCATGTATGCAACAGTGGAACGCAAACTAGGTTCTATAGTGTTTAGTATCCAAGATACAAGCATCGATTGAATTGTCCACCAATCTTCTATCTCAGATGTGTCTTCTTCAGGTTCCTTATGAGTTCCATATATGAAACCCCATTTCCTTCGAGCCCGCAGAGATATCTTCACGCCCTTGCCCATTCCTCGTAATTCTCTCCTCGTAATTGTACCTGTGTAATCACATTTCCAGGATTATCACCGGCACTCGGATCGTATGGCGATGGTGTTTTCTTCACCGCCTCTCTCTCTCTCGCCATTTTAGAAGTACGATCGTGTTCTCGAGCTGTTGGATATCGTAGTTTGGTTAGCTCCGATACCATGATAAAAATATTTCCAAAAACCCCTGTCTTGTATTGAATATGATAGCACAATATATACATGAAATACAGAAACATTCTAGGCTATAATTACGCTAACCATTATAGTCGGTATCCTAAATTTGTCTATTAACAGATATGACATTAATGTGCATCACTGTGCATCGCTGTCATGCCAAGCTAAATATGGAAAAAATTAATCATGTAGAATCATGGCATGATACGGTATTTGTAATCGTATATTCTATGTTTATCAAAAGGGAACATGTCTATCGACTGGGTTTCCTTCCAGACTCAACAATCTCTTGCAGCAGACGCGTTGATACTCAACACATTTGAGGAGCTAGATCACCTTGTCCTGTCTCAGATACGTCTTCATTTCCCCAAAGTCTACACCGCTGGCCCTGTCCACCACCATTTGAACGTGAGAAAAGCAGAAACCAACAAAGGAAATGATAGTCCTTCGTTTGGGAACAGTTTTTTTGAAACGGACAGGAGCTGCAAGGCGTGGCTTGACGCTCAGCCTCAAGGGTCGGTGATATATGTGAGTTTCGGTAGTTCAACGATTGTAACAAGGGAGGAGTTGATGGAGTTTTGGCACGGTTTGGTGAACAGCAAGAAACGGTTCTTGTTGGTCATGCGGCCTGATTTGGTGGTGGGAAGAGAGAATGATGACCAGATACTGGAAAAGCTGAAGGAAGAGACCAAAGAGAGAGGGTTGATTTTGGAGTGGACCCCACAAGAGGAAGTGCTGGCCCACAAGGCCATTGGTGGGTTCTTGACCCACAGTGGGTGGAACTCAACCTTGGAGAGTTTGGTGGCTGGTGTGCCCATGATTTGTTGGCCTTACTTTGCGGATCAGCAGGTTAACAGCAGGTTTGTGAGTGAGGTTTGGAAAGTTGGGTTGGACATGAAAGATGTTTGTGACAGAGATGTTGTGGAGAAGATGGTAAACGATCTCATGGTTCATAGGAGGGAGGAGTTTCTCAAATCAGCTCAAGCAATGGCTATGTTGGCCCACAAGAGTGTGAGTCCAGGTGGTTCTTCTTACTCCAGTATGGAAGATTTGATTCATTACATAAAATCAGCCAGTAAAGGGAAATAAGTAATACTAGCAACTGCAAAATTGCATAGTGATCACATCTTATTCTATGCTATTTAATTTGTTGTACCTTGTGATGATGTTTCAGTTCACCTTAATTAGAAGAACTGGATCCTAATTTGTTTTTGGACAGGCAATGCAGTTAGGTTCTGTTTTGACAGAAGCAAAAGCATGGAATGTGGGAGAAACATGTTCAATTTGCTATAATTTTATGTGCTTCAAAGGAGGCTTACACTTACTCATTCCTTTGCTTATCATATTAAAAACAAATTGTGAACTAACCAATTAAAACTGGTTGATTCAAATTGAATAGCTACCAGAATTTCATCGTTAAGCAAATATAAAAACAAGCTTGTGCATGCTGAAAATTGAAGACTGAAGACGTTCTTAGGCCATACTGCATTAACAATCCTTTTATGAAGTGAATGATGGTCAATTAAATGTTTCATGTGTTATCATTTCTTACAATACTTCAAATAAATTGATGCATGATTTATGACTGCAACATGAATGTATTGGTTTATCAGAAAAGGAGCTGAAAAGAATGCTGTATTCAATATTTGTTTCTTTTACTCCAATTATTGTTTCAATTTTTTGTTTTAATGTTCCTTTTAAAATTTCTGACCTATGCCATTGAATCCTTGTGGTGAGAGAGAAATGAAATACATATGAATTGTTTTGACTGAAAATTGTAACTGTGGTTGTGTTGTGTTATAAGTTCACAACTGGTTGGGTCACAATCCAATATATTAATATATTAAAAACAAATTAGTCGACACTATAATTATACTTATTGAAAAATATATATTCAAGTAGACAAAATTCAAAATTAGTTGAATAAATATTTATTAGTATCAATATTTTTAATACATAAAAATGAAATTTCGTTATAAAACTATAGAGTAAAATTTATATATATTTTATTGAATACAAACTTAACGTTAGAATAAATTAATTTTCAAATTCTGGGTAATATTTAAATACCTTATCCTATCATTGATAATAGTCGAGTCCAATTTATTAGTCTATCATATACCCAAACGGAATTATGGGTCTGGGCTGGCCCTTGTTCTTCCTTAAAGATTTTTTTTTTTAGGTTTAAATAGTTGCAGTCTTCTAATATGATTCTACTTTTAATTCTTGCAAATATTTTTGATAGCTTTATAAAAAAATCATAGTAAATTATAATTCGTTAAACGTTTAAAATAAAAATATTAATTAATATAATTAAGGTAACAAAATATAGTTTAAATTAAGATACTTAGATTTTTTTAATAAGTAATTTAAGTAAATAATTTATTTATTATTTAATATATTTTACTTATAGTTATGTATTGGTATGTATTTTAAAAGTTAAAAAAAAAAAACAAATACGGAAACTTCAATAGAACAGGTGAAAACTGTTTAGGGATAAAAACAAAAGTATGTTATATTATATTATATATAATATAAATTAATTACCTAGTCAATAATAATTTAATGTAAATTATGTACCTAATAAAAGAACTGTATAAAAATTTAAATGTAACAAAAAATATAAAAAAAAAAACAGTTGATAGGGATTTAAAATGTATTTGATTTCATTATTTTATATTAAATTTAAACTGTAAACGAATAGAAAACAAAAAGTAATGATTATTTTTTATGTTATATATTTTAAATTTATTATCAATATTAATTCTGAAAAAGTAAAATATACTTTATTCTTTTTCTGTATAGGTAAAATCTCTTATTGCGATACATTAAAAATTGTTTTTCAATTATTCAATATAAAATAAACTAAAAAAAATTATAATTATTTTTAATAAAATTACAACAGTAAAATCAAATATATATATATATATATATGTATATATATAATTGCCTTATTTATATAAAATAATAAATATATTATTTATTTGAATTATAATTAAAAAATACAATTATCTTAATTTAAAATATTATTATTTTTATTATATTGATTAATATTTTTCATTTTTAGAGCAAAACTAAATAGAGTTAATTATAAAAACTATAGATGATAGTTAGAAAATGTCAAATATTGAAAATTAATTAAACTTTTTGCAGAGAGATTATACTCTAATTAAGTCATTTTTATAAAGAATAATAACTCGATTTGTTTCAAAGAATTAAAGACTTTATTCAACTATATAATAGATAAAAAATAAAAAAAGTGTCAAACTATTTTCTAATGTTTCTCTCACAAATTAATTCCTGCTGACGATAACTTGTAATATTGTAATATATATATATATATATATATATATATATATATATATATATATATATATATATATATATTATGTGTATGAATTATACACATATTAGAATATTTATAACAATTCACCTATGTTTTATAAATTCGGTTCCCTAAACCCTAAACATATAGTCGCAGAACCAAATCACACACGCAATAAATAAATACAGATGATGCAATACACAAATATTAATGAAGCTACAAATGAATCTAACTCTATATTTTTTTTTTACTAATAATTTTTTTTTTGGATAATTTTCTTCATTATTTGATTAATACATAAACTGTAGAGTGTAATGAAAAACTTACAAATAATATATAATTTTATTGTACTAACAAACAAGTAACTCTAAAATGAGGTTAACCAAGTTTTTTGTAAATTAAATGTCCGAACGAATCTATTGCAATCCTTGTGAGAAGTTGCATAACCAACCCAATATACGTATAAGATCTCACACTCTTAGTTGGTGCCCCACCTTGAATTTTGATTACAAAACTGGTCAAACTAAACAAGCAATGTGCATATAATCTAATTGGAGGGAATCATCATTTTGGTTGGTTAAGTTTGAAGTTAATCGCACCCTTTACAAAATTAAGGGTCCCCACAACAAGTCCTTGTGCTTCTTATCCACTCATGCACTTTAAGACGTCAATGGAATTCAGTTAAGCCCACTTCCCTAACTGAACTGACATGGGTAACTTGGTGAAGTTGGTGGGGGTGGAGTTTTAGATTAGACAAAATATTAATTAATAGCTTTAATTACAATTTTTTTTTGAAAGACCACAATCGTTCTTTTCTTCATGATATTAATAATTTGGGTATTATATTTATTGGATGGACCCAACTCGAATCTTAGATTAAAGGGTTTGTGAAATGTGAATATATAAAAAAAGCACATTAACGGGTTTAGTTCACCTACTTAACTCTTGGTGACAGTGACCCTATGAGGAAGGGAAACATATAATATAATATCTTAGTGTCTGAGGGGAAAATATTGAACATGACATAACATAACACAGAAGTGGGTATGCACAGGAAAGTCAGTGAAAGACTCTAACCTATTTCAATGCTTGTTTTGCTTTAGGTTTTGGTATTGAACTTTGCTTTGTTTTGTGGCGCGGGATTTGTGGGGCAATTCAACCAGACAAAGACAAAATTGTTGTATGTAAACTTTAAAAAAAGTTTAAAACAAACATGAAACATGTCACAACGTACGAGCAAGAAACACGAAAAAGATCTTTGGACGGTTTTTATGTCTTAACATTATCCTTTTAGACATTTATTTTGACGAACAAAACTAATTCGCAGTCGCTTACACACACTACGTTGTTACAATAATTATAACTAAAATTGTTGTGAAATTCAATTCAATTTTAGCACCAAATACTTTAAACAAATTATATGGAAGAAGTTTTAACATCAATAAAAAAACAAAATATGAAAGACAGAGATGGAGTTCAGTTCACCTGCCTATTTACAATGGTGATGGTGGTCACAAACTCAACCACTATGGTCCTACGTCAAAGTCATCAACTGCTTTCTAAATATTACCACAAAGTTTATATTCATCCTTAACCTCATCACATGTCTAACTCTTTTTTTAATCTAACCATCCTCTTTCTCCTATCTGCATTCCATATACCCTTCACACACATTTTTATTAAATATGTAAAAGGATAAGGAAATTGTATTTTGATTAAGTGTTTCTAATATATACATATAATCATCTGAAAATTTTGATAACAATTTATAATTTCTAATATAAGGCTATTCATCGAAGATTTAAAAACTTGTGTATTTTGAACATTTAAGTAATACGTATTTAGCTTTATATGAAGAGAGGTTGCTTTGGTTCATGAGCTTTATAATTAGTTTGGATGAAAACAAAAATTTCTTTTTTTTTAGAATTTGAAATATTTTATGATAAATATATGTTTTTTGGATATTTTCAAAAAAATCTAAAAGATCATGAAAGTAATTTGATTATTTAAAATTACAAATTTTAAATTTTACATAGTAATTAAAGATTTGAAATTTTTATACTTTATCTTTCCTTACATTTATTTTTATTTTCTTTATATATTTTCCTCATCTCAGCTTCTACAAGAATTTTGTCACTTTTGACCTTGACATGATTATTTTTATTAATGTGATAAAAAAAATTCATACTGAAGTTGATTATAGTTATTTTTCGGTTGATATCACGTGATTATATTATTTCTTTAATTTTAATTAGTATTATTTTTCAATCGACGATAGTTAGGATTTTCTTTATAACAAATAACGATGTTCTCTATCTAATTAATGTCAAACATTTTTTTATGCGTAAATTAAGTTTGACTTCAGATTATATAAGAAAGAGGTTATTTTTAAACCAGCTTTGATGAAAAGTTATTTTTTTAAATGGAGGTCTATGCTATATTTTTCCGATGTTAATTAGTGTTTTCTTAACCAACCATGATAAAACTATTTTTCACATTATGTTAATAATATTTTTTTTAATCGACGTTAGAAATATTAATATCTTTGGTAATGTAAATTAGGTCTTTAGTCCAAATGATTTGTTTTTTTATTATTGAGATTGTGTTTTCAAATAATGTAGGTTAGATTGGTCCACATTAATCAAAGTTTTTTCAATAATATTGACTATACTAGTTTTTTATTTCTAACAACTTTTATTTTTTTCATGTTTGGTGAGTTTATTTTTTTGTTAATATTTCATAGAAATTGTTTGTCTATCAACATTGTTAACACGAATTTGTATCTAAAGTGATAAATATTTGTGTATCTAAATAAAATAAATTAAATATATTTTCCAAATGCATATCTAGGATGATGACATTGCTGATTGTTACCTTCCACATATTTATGTATGTTCGTAAGCAAGAGAAGGATCCACATATTGTATTATATTAATCATTTTTAGGTTTAATCTTCTTCGTTTAGGGGAAGAATATGTTTATTCGTCAAAAGCCGTTATGTTTCCTTGAAATAAACATAAACATATGTTCGGTATTCTTTCACTCACTTCAAAAGTTTATTTTATCTTCATTTTTTTTCAATTGTTTAAATGATTTACTCAATGAAAACTACTGTATGTTTTCTAATAATAAATTTCACTCCTTTTTTTTTTTCATTTTTTCATAAATACACAGACCTCAAATTTACTTTAATTAATTTGTTCGATAAATTTTATGTGTTCAGTGCACGTGATAGGTGCGCAGAAAGTCATGTCTATAAGGGTAATATAAAAATTATTTATCTTTATTAGCTTATAATGTGATACTAATGTTTGATTTCCAGGTACTTTTATTAAAAAAAATACCAATTTTTTTTTTACATGAATATAATAGTTCAAAAGAGAAATACTTAAGAAAAAGATAAAACACAAATCAATAAGATGAGAAAAATAAAGAATGAACAGCGAAAATGAGAGATTGTGTGGTAATTTTTAATTTAGCTAGTAGACTTAGATCTTACGATTATTATTACACCTTCTAATTTCTCACAATAAACATTTTGATAATAATTAATAAGTCTAAGTAATGTGGGTATACACATGGTATTAAGTATAAATATATAACATGTAAATGATTTATTATGCTTCGTATTTGAATTTAACTTTTTCTTATTTACCCATAAATAAATAAATGCATGATATACTACTGAGAGTGGGTGGAAATATGATGGATTTTCCAAATTTTTAGATTTTTACGAAATATATTATATTAATTTATGAGATAAATTCCTCAGGAATTTGGATTATTTTTTTATTAGTAACTTCTTTCATGAATAATTTAAATTTTAAAATTATTAAAAAAGTAATAATTTGACCCATGAAATATTAACCTTTGTCTCTAGTTCTTCTGTTATTCTTAAAACCTATTTAAAAAACTTCTAATTCAAATCAATGGATTAAATAACTCTTCTTTTCAATTAATAGTCTTTGTTTTTAGCCGTTATATTTTTTATTTTAATTAAAACTTGAAAAAAAATTCATTTAACATAATAAACTATTATTGAATTTAATGTCACGTTTTTTAAATATTTATTTTAATTTCAAATATTGATATTACATTCCTTAACACTTCATAAAAAAAAATTTACTCATTTGAAAAATCAGCGTGAAGGGAAATAATAAAGACTAAAAAAAAACATTGGTGATGTTGGTCAATCAGCGTATGTATTACATGTTTTCAGTTAATGGTCAGATTTTTAAAAAAATAATATTAATTTCTTTTTACTATTTATATTTATATGTTTATTTAATTTTTAATCATTTTAATATTTATATTTACTGCAACGTAAAAATGAAAAAGATAAAATAGAAAATCTTATAAATAATTTAAGAAAAATATTATATTTTTTATTCTCTTAAATTACACTTAAAAAAATGTATGGATAATATTATTATTTGTTCCTCTCCTCTCGTTAGCCTCTTATTCGGCTACGCAAGTTCCGACGTCGCAGGTGCTTTTGTTTGTGCGTTAGTTACGGCAAAAGTCACGACCAACACTTCGTTTCTCAATAAAACCAAAACCAATTTTTTTTTGTTCTATTATTTTTTTCAACTTTTCAAATAACTAATTATTTTATAAATAAGAAAAGATTGATTGTTTGTAAACGAGTAAAACCTCTCGTAATTTATTAAGTAAAAACATTATCAGGTTATGTGGCAGGTTTTTCTCTCACTGTGTTATGTATAATAAAAAATAGTGTTACTATTAAAATTAAACAGGTTATTATTAATTATACGAAATAAACTAATATGAATAATATAAATAAATAAAATTGATATTAATAATAAACATATACAATGGATAAATAAAACTCACGTTAATCAAATACACAAAGTATTTTGTTTATAAAACAAATTTTATTTACACCTTATTTCTTATTTATTTTTCCTTTTTTCATTCAGTCACTCCCTCACCTATTATTATTTATTTTCTTCCTACCACATATACTAAGAATCTGTAAATGTCTTAGAAAAAATGTTGACTTTTTAAACTAATTTTACAAAAAATATAATGAATAAGAATTTACAAAAGAGGCGAAATTGTTTATATTTAAAAAAACAGAAACAAAACATATAAAAGAAAAAAACAAAATGTATTTATTTGTTAAATATATAAAATTTTCTGACTAAAATTACATCTAGAAATGGTAATAGTCCTCATCATTGGCTTGCAATTCATCAACACACAAAAGGCTGTAAAAGATTCAATAAAAAACTGAGCTTCATATGATGATAACATTGACAACCAATCCAATAAAAAGGTTAAAAATAAGAGACTAAACTAAACCAATTGAAAAGGTTGAAAATAAACAAATGAAAAGAGAGAAAAGAAAAATAGGAGTGAAAAGAGTAGAATGTATAAATATAGGAAACATTCCAAAGCTGGATATTGCATGCTCCTCTCCTCCCAAGAATAAGCACCGCTCAAACGCATACCATTTTTGAAATCCTTCTTCTCTGTAATCTCCTCTGCTTCTATTCTGCTCCCACCCTGTTTCTTCTCTCTGTATTCCTCTGTTTTTTTGCCCATGCCCCCACCAATGTGAAGGAGGATTTTCACAAACAACGAATTCATCCTTCTTAATTTCGGGTGCGGGCACGGGTTTGTGGATTTAGAATAAACACTCCCATAACCCAATTCCATGTCACTTTAAGGTAACCTTTCGCTATTTTATGCTGTTTTCTGTTAAATAACTGCCCCTGTTTCAGGTGCAGAACACAACACAGAACACCAAGCCGGAAATTTAGAAAAAAAAAAATTGACCAGAGAAGAAAACCATGTTGGTTTTTGAGCTATTTTGATAATTCGTGTGCATCAATTTTTTATTTTATCTGTTTACATGGAAAAAATGAAAGCTTTAAAGGCTTTCTTTTCTTTTCCCAGTTTCCTCTGATTCTGCAGAGTTGGAGAAGAGGGGTGAATTAGAAGAGAAGGAAGAATCCAGAAATGGCATCGACGTTTAATCACGCGAAAGAGTTTACGAGCGACGACGAGGGATCTCCGAGGGCGATTCTGGAAACCGTTGTTTCGGAGACAGAGTCTGAGAACAGTGGAATTAGCGAAAGCTTCAATTCCGTGTCGTCAGAGAAGTCGCCGGCGGATAGTTACATGCAGCAGCAATGGAAGTCTATGGTCGACGTTTTCAAGTTCAAGTCTGTGCGAAAGTTAACGACCATTCCTTTGAACATTCCTATGTTTGCGGTGAGCCATGACATGTCTCGGAAGGGTTTTACCAAGAAACTGGCTCGTATTAGAAGTGCCGAAGATAATATTGATATTGGTGCTATTCCCTCGAAACCCTCTTGGAGAAACTTTGATTATGAAGAGTTGGTAGCTGCTACTAATGATTTCAGTTCTGGTATGGTCTAAATCCTCCTTTTTTTTTTTTTTTTCTTTTCATAATTTGATTTAAAGTTTTAAAGTTTCTGAATATGAAAAAACATCTCATAGGAAAAATCAGTTAATTACATGGATCTCGTAATTTGGAGGGATGAATCTTCCATTTTTGCTAGTTGTTTGGTATTTATTAATCAGTCACCACTAGCAGAGAAAAGAGGCATCAATGAATGTGATTCATTTTCTCTTTTGGTGTGTCTTTTATAATTAATCATCCAACATTTCATTTTTATTACAAGCATAGACTCTCGTGCCATTAGATAATGCATCGTTTTCGCCATAAATTTTATTGAATGGCACAAAACAGATTCTTTTTTGTGATGAAATGTAAAAAGGATTTATATTTACCGAAATTGTCAAATGAGTAGGATATGAAGCCATGGGAGTTACAAAATAATTGGTCTTAAGCTGTGTGAGAGGCTTATTTTTGAAAAGAGAAATAAGAAAAAGGAGTTTGTAGGAGATCTTTATTGGGTGAAGTGGGTTTAGAATTCCGTTAAATTTATAGAACATGGTTGATTGTTGTATAGTATTATGGTTGATGGTTGATAATTGGCGCCATTAGCTTGGGAGTTGGTTAGTGCCAAACTTTCCCTTGGAAACTGTATAGAGTAGACGACCTTTTTGACCAAACATAGGGTTCCTGTGTCTGCATGTCCACGGGAAAAGGACATATATTTATGGGGCCTCACATTAATATTCTTTACCCTTTAGTGCAGATTGCAAGTGTACGCTGGATACTAAAGTCTGACACCATGAAAATATGAATAAGTTTTAGTTTAAAGTGTATTAGAGTGCAAGAAGTATATTGCACTATATTACTGACTCATATGCGTGTGTATAAGTTGCCTACTTTACCCAAAAGACAGCTACTTTAAAGACAATTTCCTTGAAAATACACCGGCGTGCCGTTTGCTGGTGCTTTCAATTGTCACTTGTCAGCCACATTGTACAGTGTCCCACCCTTTAGCCTCTAGGATTGGACAGTGTGTCCCTTGAAAAGAGGCATATCAGTGTGACCATTGTTTGCAAGAAAGACACTTCTCACTTCGTCTCATCCATAGCACATGCATGAGCCAAGCTAATAAATATTGGTTAATGTAAATTTGTCAAGGGTGCTGTTTCGGTTTAGTTCACACCTTACGTCTTCCAAAAGATGCTTTTAATGGTCTCAATTATCGTTGGTACATGTCATATGTTTGTAGTAGGGACATTCTTTTATAGTGCAGGAAGGAACTAGTGTTATAGTTATTTAGTTACCATTCATTAAACCTAATAATATTTTATATATCAAGAATACCCCAAATCATTTCTTAAAAGACGAAAGAGCCACTTGAGACAATGCATAATTAATTTGCGGAAAGTTAAGAGTTTGAAATGTTCCTTCATTCTACTTTTATAATGGAAATGGAGATGCTTCAGAACAGTTGTGAAAGCACCATTTAGCCAAGACTAAATACAAAAAGAAAAACATAAATATTGAATTTATTGGCTTTGTTTTCTAAAATCTCAACTACTAGTCAATGATGAAATAATAATTTAATGATAAAACCGTTGTCAAGTAGGTCAATAAGAAGCCAGTCAAGTAACGTTTCCACATTAGAGTTAATTTCAACTTGCGCAATGTATTGTATCAAGTCCAAGACTATTCAACTTAATAGCAGACAGTTGCCAAAATATGCGTCTGGGTCAGAGTCTAAATTCCATGAGATGCTGGTAACCCTTTGAGATTGCCCTTGTGGTCCTGTTAAAATAAATTGAATATCTTGGTCTTTCACATAAAGCGTCTTTACGTGCCTGAATTCAGATGCTACACATTAATATTAACAATATCAATAACAATTAACCAAATACTTTGTCTTTTAATTTGTTTTACTTTTGTTATCTTTGGCTTCATAGAGAACCTGGTTGGGAAAGGTGGTCATGCTGAAGTTTACAAAGGCTGCTTACCTGATGGTCAAGTTATAGCTGTAAAGAGGCTAATGAAGAATGAAAAGGATGCTGCAGACAGAGCGGGTGATTTCTTGACAGAGCTTGGGATTATTGCACACATAAACCACACAAATGCTACACACCTTGTTGGGTTTGGGGTTGATCGTGGCCTCTACTTTGTCCTACAATTAGCTCCACATGGAAGTCTTAGCTCTATGCTTTTTGGTGCGGAGCTGCATCCATTTCTTGCTTCTGCTCTTATTTGTGCTCATTCTACTTTTCATGGCTAACAAAGAGGTGTTCAACATACCAGGTTCTGAAGGCTTGGACTGGAAGAAACGATTCAAGATAGCTCTTGGAGTCGCTGATGGATTGCATTATCTCCATAAGGAGTGCCCAAGACGAATCATTCATAGGGACATCAAGGCCTCCAACATATTACTAAACGAAAATTATGAAGCTGAGGTACTGTGGCAGCAGATTATAAAATAAATTCAATTATGTACCTTTCTATGCAAAGCAAATAATCCGTTCTATGAAAAACATCAGATTTCGGATTTTGGACTGGCAAAGTGGCTTCCAAATAAGTGGGCCAACCACGTTGTGTTCCCAATAGAAGGAACATTTGGGTTAGTGTTGTAGCTTCATTGACTATCATTTCCTATTGTAACCATTTTCGTACAGTTAAACACTGCATGCATCAAACTTGGTTGCAGGTATTTGGCTCCGGAGTACTTTATGCATGGAATTGTGGATGAGAAAACTGATGTATTTGCGTTTGGAGTTTTGCTATTGGAGCTCATAACAGGCCGTCACGCTGTTGATACGGATAGTAGGCAAAGTCTTGTATCCTGGGTAAGTCTTCATAACCCTTGCATCTCCTGGAAGATCCAAAGTTAATTTCCCTTCTGTGAGTGTAATACTTTAGGATTTGGCAATGAAAAATTCAAGATGTTTATATAATGGCTTGCAAAGTTCTGCTTATGTTTAGAAATGATTAACTTTCGTCAGGCCAAGCCACATCTGGACGCAAAAAATGTAAAGGCCATAGCAGACCCCAGATTAGGAGAGGACTATGATCATAGTGAAATGCTGCTTCTCATGTTGACAGCTTCCATGTGTGTGCACAATGCATCCACCAAGCGGCCATTGATGAATAAGGTTAGACGATGAGCATATTCTCTCTTTCAGCTTAGTTTGATCGAAACTTTGTTCTACCTTTCTCTATGCCAGGAAACTAACTTGAATCTTTGCTAACTATAGGTTGTGCAGCTGCTAAACGGTGAAGATCCAAGTTTAATGGACCTTAAGCAAAATTCAATTGCACCAAAATCCCAGTTGTTAGATGCATGTGACCTAGAAGATTATACTTGCTCGAGTTACCTGAAGGACATGAATCGCCACATGCAACTGATCATGGAGTGATCCTTCTTCATTAGAGAGATTTCTTGTAGGGATGGAGTGATATTTATAGAAGTGTGTGAGTGGTCGAATCCAAAGTCACAATGTTATTTAGCATGAACTTGTAGGGAGCATTGCTGAAGATGCAAATCATAGTTTTGACTTTGGATTAATGCCAGACAATGACTATTTTCTCAAGCATCAAAGTAATGTAGAAATGATGCGGCAGAGCGTAATATTTTGACTCTGCAGTGCCATTCAGCATTTTCACCCGTACGTAAATAGTCTCCATGAAATCATAAATGTCTCGTTTCTATTTCACCACATAACATTGGAAAAACAAATGTGAAGTTCCATTACTGTGATACTCTACACAAACAAAAAGCTTAAAGAATATATTAGAATAATTATATATAAAAAGCTATGCACATTTGGTTTTTAAGACAATTAATTTGTCACCATTTAAAATGAAAATTTTAATATATACATACACTTTAAATTCGGTTCGTTTTATTCAGTCCAAACACAATCTTAAACAAAATTGGTAAAATAATCATGACAACCTTGCCCAAGGAATTTCTGGTGTGTTTTTCATCTTTTTTTGGTTAATAAAGTTTGAAATTGAGACAGACAGGGTCGGTTGAATGTTATAGCTACACTCACTAAATGTTATTTATTATTAGTTTTCATACAGTAAAAAAATGTTAAATTCATACTCAAAAATAAAGAAAAATGCTTCTTAGTACGAACACGTTTAGCTTTCTGGGGCTGAGAATTGCCTTAAGAGAAAAAATGGGTTTCATTCTAGTGGGCTCTTGAATTTGGGCCTGTATAAGTAGCATTGTTCCGATATTACCTGTGTTTCTTCCTATCCCCATATTTACTTCCTTCACTTCCATATTTATCTAAAATGATAATATTACTCATAATATAAATAAGTTATGAAAAATTTATTTTACAAATTTTTCTTGTATTCCGGAAAATTGATCTGGAACTCTTCCGAAAAGTTTTTAGAAAGGTCAATCAAGAAAAATTTTGAAAACGAGCTTTTCAGAATTTTTCTGATTAGCCTTTTGTGGCAGTTTTTTGGAATGTTTTGAGAGAGCCTTTATCTTCAGGAAAATTTGTCGAAATTTCGTTCTAGAATTTTTAGAATAGTGGATCTAGAATAATAATATTCATAGAGTAGTTTATGAATTCGTTATATTTCTACCACTTTTGTCTATGTCTTCCGTCACGCCTTACTCTGGTTCTCCTCCAACATTCATTTTGTCACTTTCCTCCGTGCCTCGCGTACTACGTGCTAAACCACTTCCAACGAGAATGACATAGACAACGATAATGTTCCTTGTAACATAAATGAAGAAAGGAGATACAAGACTATGAAGATATACGTGAAAATTAAAAATATACAAAGATATTTTTATTATTAAAATATAGGTTACAGCCTGAAATCATTGATCCTTAAATGAGAACTTCAACGTTTCTTCTCTGAGACTCCATGTGTGTACAGTGGGCTACAGAAAATAATAGATGTCCCTTGGCCCAATGAGAATGCAAGAAATTTGTGCTTCTATTATATTATATATGTTTTCCATTATACTCGTTGAATTTTTGTTTTTCTAGAAAAATATTTTAGTAATTTATGTTTTTAAATATAACAACATATTCTTAATGGTTTCTTTTTCTACAATATTCTTAGAAATACAGTGCTAGTATATTTTTTATTTTTAGAGAAAAGAATGTTAATGATCAGTTATAATTTGATTAGATTTATTAAAACGTTTTTATAGATGAGGAAATTAGACCCTCTATGTGCATCGATAAAAAGAAAAGGCTATTCATCACAAATTATTTTATATATCGTTTCTCTCTTTCTTGAAGAGGTAAAAATGCATACTATTTTATTATTTGACTAAATATTCTAAGAAAAAAAGGGGTAAGACTTCTATTCTATGGTTACTTAAGTAGCGTTTAATAAAATCTCAGGAAAAAACAAAAGCAAGCATATGTATTTGATGTGTTTTAAAATAAAGTTTTATTCGAAAATAATTTATTTTTGTTGGAATTAAAATGATGAAAAGAATACAAAATATTTATTTCGTTCTATGTTATCTTAATTTTTTATGGTTACTTTACATATTCGACCATTAGATTGTGTTGAAACTCAATTAACAGCGTATAATTAAGAGCTTATCTAATCCTAATCTCTACTGTTTTTTAAGAGCTTGTCTTGAATCTTAAAGTTAAGTAAGATTATTTAACTTGGGAGTATTAGTAGAGACTGGAGGGGAGGATATGTTAAGAGTTTAAGTTTTGACATTAAAGTAAGAATTATTAATAAAATAAGATAAGAGAATATAGAGTTTTTGAAGTGAAAATGATTTAAGCTCACATACTCTGAAGACCTGTCTTTATCCTCGTCTCTTTACAATTAATTACTTGTTCATCTTGTTTCTCTTTTATCCCATCTTTGTCCTATCTTTATCCTATTTCCCTTTTATTTCACTTTCCCTCCTGTTTTCACATTTACTTTTTATGTCGCGAATGCCATCTAATATTTCCACTCACTTATGGTTTGTCGGTTGTTCAATTAGTAAGAACGACAGATATTTAGTGTGTGCGACGAGTTTAATTACTACTAATTTTTTTGTCCACAGAATTCTTTTTCCTTTCTGTACAAAAAATTAAGGAACCATTAATTACAAGTCTCAGCAGAAAACCTTGTTGGTAGGATGAACTTTAGCTTAGAAAAAGAAAATAAATTTTGAAAGCAACAAAATATTTATGGATGCAACGAAGGACAGTGCTAACGTATTCATGATTCTTTGGTCAACGAAGGGAAGACAACGTATTGCCTAACGCGAATTTCAAATTCAATTCTTCCTGATCTTTTTTTCTGACTTGTAATAATTGATAATGACATTTTGAAGACATGAAACATTTAGTTAAAAAAGCCTGAAGAAGTTTTGTAAAGAAATTAAACAAGATAAGACCACCAAACTCGAGTTAGTGGACGTACGTAAATTTAGAAGTTAATAAAAATTATTATCATATGAACATGATTTGTTTCAGGTGAATATTTCAAAAAGGCTACCAAGTTATAATCAGTTAATATTGGACCATTTCATTTTCATGTATCACAAAATGTCATAAACAGTGATTTAAAAAGCGAAGCCGACTTGGTAATTAAGGTAATTAAACGAAGGGGATTACACTAAAGCTGCAAATGCAAGCTAAGAAGCATTTAGGAAATTCTTGTGCAAGATTACGATGCACGAAATATTTCTGATTTCTAGAGTAATTAGTTACATATCCAGCTTCCTAATTTAACTAAGACTAGGAACTCAAAAACCTCATTTTTCTTTCTTAGCAGCCTAAGGGGGTTAATTATAGAGGAGGTTGGAAGCAGGTCAGCTAAACTGTGCCACAGACTATATAGCTTTAGATTTGTTAGCATAACCAGGAAATTAGCAAAAGATGATTGTAGTTTGATTAGATCAATAAGACTGGTGAGGCCAAATAAAGAACTCAGCTGCTGTTGTTGCTGGTGGTGGGAGTGCAGTGAGTCCAGTTGCATTGGCGGAAGTGACAGTAGGCTCTGCTGTGCCAGCGTTGGTAGGATGAAAATGTTGGAAAAAGTTGTGATGATAATATGCTGTTGAAGAATCAAACGGAATTCCACACGGAATTGAAGCAATTGGCTGATGAATGGCCGAGAAATTGATGCTGCCACTCACGTTTCCACACTGTGGATTCTGCTGACTGCTGCTCACAGCAACTTTCTGCTCTGATTCAAGGGAAAGCTTCAAGCGTTTTGCTGCTCCACCCACTGGAAGAGAACTCTTCATTATAGCTTCCACATCATATCTATTCATCTCAAAGTTGGTTACTGCGTTTGCGCCTCTGAACTTTATTGCTGCAATGTCATATGCCTCCGCTGCCTCTTCTTCGGTTGCTGTTACCACGTGAACTCAGTTAGATGATTACACATAAAATATTCTACAATAAAGTTCTTAATAATAAGGTCTAAAGATTATTGGACTGCTCTTCCGTGACGACAAATTATAGAAATGGGCTTATTGGTTATCTGTGCTTTCGTTTACTGCTATTTTGTGGGCTATGAACTTATCTATTACTAGCTAGCATCTTTGAACTTTTGGCCCGGAATATGGATGGTGTGAAACTTGACCATTAGAAGTTCAATCAATCCAATTATTTTTTATAACATGGCAACTATGGAAGAAAAAATACATACCGAATGTTCCCAAGTACAGATCTTTGTTTCCAGCTACACGGCCAATTCTTGCTTGCCACCTACCCTGTTGATGATGCCTGCATGATACAAGTTACAAGTATTAAAACATAGAATCAAGTAAATCAATATGCTAAATAATTTTAAATTTTAAACTCCAGACCTCGTGACACCTCTGTATATCGAAGCTCCCCTGGAAAACCCACTACTTTTCCTGCAAGAATGGAACTTCAAAGTTTCAGTAGCTTCATAGAAGTACAGTTATAAATTTTTAATAGGCTAACTCAAGCAAACCTTCGCAGCGATGCAATAAATTCTTGCTTTGTTACATGTTTCATCTCCTCCAATTCCTTTGAATAATTGGCCACCTGAGAAAGGAGGATAGAAATAAGGTCATAGATGTTAGTTACAATACTGACCCATTCTATCTCAAATGAACCAGCGATGCTATTTGAGATATCAACAACTTCAGAACTACATATGAAACAAAGCTACCCAACACATATAATACTAATATTCCTCACCCCCCTCCTACCTCTTTTCATTCTTGCCACGTTAGCACGAAGATATACTATATTCCCGTTCTTGGCACCCTAGCCTCAACTTTTTACATACCAAGTAAAGCATATTTCTTTCACACCAACCATTAACCACGTTCCGTTTTAGGAATTTTTTTTTGTATATACAGGTGTATTAAAATATGAAACTACGTATGCATGATTCCTTCCGTAGAATGTCTCCTTCTTTGGTCCCACCTCAAGGTTTTCAGTCCATATGCCTAGGATTTCATGCAACTAAAATCTATCAAAACTGAATACAGGAAAGAAGTGACTGCATTACAGGGAAGTTGGTGGTAGCGGTGGGACCCCAGTACTTTAGAGCTGCCAAATCGTAAGCTCTCGCGGCCTTTTCTTCCTTATCATATCCACCTGATAACCACAACAACTGACTATGTCACAACCATCTCTCAGACAGCAGAAGAAGTTTAAGATAGGTTAAGCAATATTCTTGAGCCAAATCTACTACTTACCCAAATAAACTGTAGAAAAGTCAAAAAGTTGAATGACAGCCAGAAATGCATCAAGTCCCGTTGCATGCAAAGGAAAAGCCAAAAATATCAAACATCAGCCAAGAGAATAGTCAAAATTATCTGCCAAAAATTACTTTCTAACCCAAAATGCAAATGGCCGAAAAAAAGCGATCATATGCTTGCCAATTGCCACGGTGCATGCGCACAAGCAACCTTTTTTTCCTTTTTCTCTCTCTCTCACGCCCTTTATGGCTGCTACATAGGATGAAAACAACTGTACATTGGATTAGATCCATCAACCCCATCCTCTTTTCCTAGTACAAGGACTAGTCGAATTTTATTTGTACTAAAAGGTTCAATCTATAAACCACATTAATTTAAAGACAAAAATTGATAGTATCCGTGCAAAGTAGCTATCAATTTTTCCTTTCAGGTTGATAAAAAATTTCAAAAATCACAATATGTAGCTTATGGTCAAAGACATGCCCCGGCGTTTAACAACAGACCAAAAAAAGAAATGCCGAATTGCCTATTTCTCATTGGAACGAATTCTAGCTTTTTTACCTTTTCTTTCCCTTCTTTCTACCAATAAAGAGAATCATTAAAAAAATATTTTTGTTATTTGTCGCTGCAACATAAGATCTAAGAAATCCCGTGAGTTTGTTCCAGACCCATGAGGACAACATTATTCTCAGATGGGGGCCAGACCCACTGTCATAAACCCTTCAGAGCTACAGTGTACGCTCCTCCACCTCAATGCAAGCAAGTACAAATTCAATATGGGAGTGATGGGTGATATGGTCAAACGCAGCTTTCCCTGGCAAGTGGGAAAGCAAAAGCAAAAGATAAAAGCCCTAATGCACAATATCAGGTATGACTTATGACTAATGAGGAAGGGGAAGGACGAATAGATAAGATACTAGACATGAAGGCGTCAACAAAGGGGTACGGGACAGGGAGAGAATGCAGAGAGAAAACAGAAATAAGAGATTAACATGTCTGACCAGACAAGAAAGCAAAGACACCCGACTCACAAGGGGCAAAATGGCGGCACATCGGATCAAATCAATTGAAAGAAAAATGCAGAAACAGTGAAGTAACCAGTACTCGCAGCATTGTATGTGTATATACCCCCATCAGTCAATCATAAAAAATACTGTTTATAAAGAAACCCAGGTGTCCTACCACACTCCAACCATTAACTGCACCTTCAATGCATGCAACCCACTTTTCAGTTCTATACCATCACACCTATTCCTCCAATATTCTTCTCATTTTTGTTTACTTAAGAGAGAGAGAGAGATAGACCTTGACGCCCTTTCCTGGCTTGACCCTCCCTTCTGCAACTGTTGTCCCATAGATGCGCTTCATATCTACCTGTCCATCGGTGCCTGCATAGACCCCCCCCCCCCATCACAAAAAGCATAATTAAAAAAAAATCACAATCTAACATAAGATAGATGTGAGAAGAGGCCAAATTTCTGACCTTGACCTCTCTCTCAAACCACTGCCACTACTCCATGTCTAAAATCACTATCTCGATATATTTTCACAAATAGACAAGAGCTATCTAGCAACTTTTTTCAACTTCCAACGTGCCAAAAGATCCTTTGGGTAAGAAAAAGAGAAACCTCTCCTTTTTTTTAGCACAAGCACCCATACATACATACACACACAACCCAAACATGATAAATACATAAAACAGTAATTGATTGATTCAATGATAATATTTTTTGATAATCATAATAATAATACCAGAGAAATAAAAAATTAGTCTACCTAGTGACACCTCTGTAAATAGAAGTTCGCTGGCCGAAGGTATCGACGATCTTCTTCGAGCTACCGGAATCAGCCGCAACGACAGCTTTCTCAGAGCTCTGCGTGACGGCAAGCGAGAGAGTGCCGGTGGCGCCGCCGGCGCTACCGGAAAACGCGGCGAACTCGTTGCCTGAGGACTCAATAGAGTGAGTCCCAAACTCGCTGGGTTGCGCTTTTCCGATGGACGCAGAATCATCAACCTCGGAGCCAGAGTTGGTCGAAAAAGCTTGGAATCCAGCAATGACCTTGAGATCCTGCTGGTCGCCGAAGTACGCTGAGCCGTGGTGGTCATACATGTGAGTCAGCGACGAGTCCTGCGTCTCCGTCTGGCTGTCGGAGTAACGCATCAAGGCGGAGGAGTCACCAAGAAAGTCCTCGAGCTTGGGCGTAGGCGCGTGGCTCACGCTCTGCGAGTGCGACGATTCGACGAAACTCACATCGCTCTGGTTCTGGTTCTGGTTCAGATTCTGGTCCATCAGCATCTGAGCCTTGAGGTTCCCGTTCCCCCACCCTGCACAGAAAACGAACAGTTTCAGCGATTTCTCACGTGCGCTTGTTTTTACCAAACCAGTAAGCAGGAAGTGGTAAGCAAGTAAGTACTACTAAGTGGCTACTATATATATTACCGTTGTTAGCGTACAAGTTATCGAGAAAGTAGTGATGCGAGTTGGTTGCTGAAGCGGCGTCGTATTGCACGAACTGAGGTTCAGAGGTTCGGAGCATTTCCATGGGCGAGAGCGAAAACGAAAGCCAGTTAGTCGCACGTGCCATTGATTGGTATGCAGATAAGAATGGTGGTAAATGAAGTCCTGTGATAAACGTTTCTGAACAGGTACAAATCAGTAACAGTTTATTGATAAGAACAATGCTTAATAAACGCCCAAAACTGAAATAACCTCTTAATCCGGAGAGGCGTTACTCGTTGAACAGATAACTATAGCTACTACTTCTTCTCCATGTTAATTTTGTTGGATGAAAAGGAGAGAATCAATGAAGCGAGAAGCAGAAGAAGAATGCATGCAGGGTGGGAGGGAAGTGGCGTGAGAGAGACAGAGAGAGAAAGAGAGTGTGGTGAGTTGATTTATATAATGGCGAGAGTTTGAGAGGGTTTCATTTTAAGGAGAGAGAAAAGAGAAGAGGAAGATATAATAAAGAAAGAGGGGAGAGAAGTGACTTTTGGCTCTGCGCGGAAGAAAAATTGTCTGAAACACGTCCGCGAAAGATCCGGGCTGGGGCTGGGAAAAAATTGAAGTATTTGTTTGATAGGGTTCTTGTGGGGAGGGTTGGGAAATTACGAAAGTGGGGTTGGGTACTTGTTGTTTCTTAAGGAAGGAAAATTAATTTGGGGTTTGGCATTTCACACACTTGTCTTACATGCACCTCTCCCGGAAATGGTTCGGGTCCAGTCACAGAATTCAAACCCTTAACTCTTGTTTCCCCACTTTCTCATCCAACCCACCAATTGTGTCATTTTTCACATTCAAACACTGCCACTAACCGAGACCCGCAGGAGGGGATAGAGCTTCTTTTCAGATTACATTATTACTCTTTAAACACAATTTCTTTTTCTTTTCTTTTTTCTTACTTTTCATTTGTTTTACACTATTACTAATGTTCTACAGAACTGTTAGTTTATAATATTTATTTAAAAGTTTAATTATAAATGTAGTTTGTTAAATGAAAATTATAGACTCCCAATTTTACCATTTTTTTCAGTTTTTGTTACTAATAAATTTTGTATTTGAAATCATGTATTGGAAAACGTGTGTTGATATTATTTTTTATTCATCAAATATATGTTAAAATTTATGGTTTTTATGGTAATTAGTTTAAAACGTCATACATTGAATATTTAATTCAGTCATACTAAAAGCATTATTTAACCGTGATATTAAATGTTTGAAAATCAATTCATTTATGTTTAACTCAATTAACGTCATAAAAAAATTTAAATTATGTAATCAATTTTTCGATCTTATCTAAATACACGAGTTCATTTATTGAATTATAATTCACATTAGTTGATGATAGACTTAAATTCTGTAGAAATTTTAACTGCTTTTATAGGATGGATCACCACATGCATAAAATTTATTGACCTTTATATTGATCTCAAAGTGTATAGTCTTTTAACATAAACATTCCCCATTATAAGTGAAACATAAATCTAAAAACACTATAAAATTTTTAGTTATTTTGAAGGTAATATCTATTCACTGAACTCTAGAACATCTTTTTAAAGGTATATTTAATTTAACATATTATCTTATATGTATTTATGTTATTATTATTGAAACACATAAATTACATCATTTATTAGAATATCAATATTAAATAATAATCATAATAATAATTTAATACCTTTAAGATATTAATTATAATTTTTAATTCTTATGTCTTTTTTATAATATAAAAAATAGTTATATGAATAAAATATAATTTTATAATTTGAAAATAATATAATTTTTAAATAATATAATTTTAAAAAAATACAATTTTAACAAAAATCACATTTAAAATAATTTTGAATATACTATATCATTGTTTTATAATATAATTATACTTTATGATTTCTTATCCTATCCCATGTCATTAGAGTATTATATAAGTCCTGGGACATAAGAAGATAGTTCATGTATGTGAAAGAATCATTTATGAGTTTATGAAAATATTATTTAATTTTATTTATGCTTTTTAGTCCCATTTTAAAAATACAAAAGATATTATAAATTTCTGTTTGCAGTGGCATGAATTTTATGGTACATGTTTCAAATCAAAATATATTTTCTCCGTTATGAAACGTGAAGAAAATATATAATGAAAAATTAAAATACTATATCCAATAAATATATGTTTATAACATATTTATTAAATAGAACAAATTTATTATAATTGTTTACATTTAACACTATCAATGAAAATACTTGTTATTTATTTAAAAGGATATAATATTTGATAGGACTAAAACTGTACACCCAGATATTTTTATATAGAAAAAAGAGATTATGACATAAAATGGGTATCGCACTTATTTAGTCTCTACTAAGAGAAGGTAACAAATATTTGTGAATTAAAATTTAAAATAAGAGGTTCATTCTTTTACCATACTCTTATTCTCTAAATTTTTTTCTTTCTAATTTTACAAATTATAGAGTCATGAACTGTACTTATTACTAGTGTAGTATTTGATAACTGTCATAAATGATTTAGGGAGTCCATACAGTAGTAATTGATAAAGCATCATTCATTGGCAGTAGTATTAATTAATTAAAATTGAACTGTGTGAATTTTAGGGAGTATAATTTATTGCAAAAAGAGAAATGTATAGTAGGATTTTAAATATATATCTTGAAAACAGTGTTCTTGGTCAAAAGCATGGAGAGAAGAGAAGGAAGATAGTGCATCCAAAAACAAAAACCATAGAAAAATAAACAAAGGAACCCATTTAGTCATGCTATGCTATGCTACTAGCATTGAAAATAAACCTTAATTTTAGCAATGTTTCATTCGAGTTCAGCCTTTATAACGGTTTTTTCTTTAAAGAAGAGCCTAATTTCCATGTTCATGAATGGATAGATGAAACCCAAACTTCAATTCAATTTAAAGTTATTTTTTTTTAATTTATTATTATTTTTTCTCTATGGCACTTCATTTCGACAGTCAACACCCTCGTCCTCATTAGTTCATAACTCAAAATCACCAAGAAATATCCATCTCTTTTCGTACAAATATTAACGTGATTAATCTGGACAACAGAATCTGAAACAACTTATAGTATTTTAAAGATTTGAGTTAAGTGTTACAAGTTTTTCATTCCCTACCTTTTCAATGTTTATCCTGTTCATGTCACTCTTTCCCGTACTGTGCGTGCAGCTGTGACGGGGCATCACTGCCGTTTCGTTCTTTTGCCACCGCTTCTTCTCCCATGGCCATGTAGGCCTTGTTTTCCTTTCCTTCAGCAGAACCTAATGATGCGTGCATTATAATTATAATGTAGATTCATAATACATATTAATTGTTACCGTACTTTGTTATCATTGATTATTCAGGGTATTGTCGTTGTCTGTGGAGAAGAGGAAAGGTGGTGCATCTGCTACATGCAAACAATCTCTCTAATAAAAGAGAAAAAGGGAAATATAGAACTATCTACATAAACATCAGAGGTCATGATCATGAAGTTCTCCAGCAAGGAGCAGAGAGAGAGAGTTGAACTTGAAGCTGTGTTCATGACACGCCGCCGTTTCTTCCTGTTGGGGTTTCTCAATGGCAAAACCTAAGAACAAAAATAAACCATCTCTTTCTATATATAAATACATATAATCTGATTATATCAATAAATAATTTACGTAGAATATAGTTTCTAACAATTTACTATTGAATTGAACTTTTATTTAATATTGATTTTTTTTTCTCTCTCTGTGTATATGATGGAATAATTACTCTGTTGAACAATTTTAAATATAATAAATATTAATAATTTAATATTTAATTTTTTTTTATTGGGTACATTAGATTTATACAGTTTTTACATAATTTTAAAGTTTCCGAATATATTTTAAATTATTAAACTCCACTAATCCAACTATTCACTAAATTAAAAAAAAAAAGGTTATTGTGCATGACTAAAGTCTTAACCATTGAAACTAATAATCTGTCAAGATCGATATGATAAAAAAATTCGATTATAGGATTAATTTGGACGAATTCTTTCAAAACATTTATAAAAAAAATAAAATATAAATTAATTTATTCATAAATTAAAATTAACTTATGCCATGAGTTAAAAATAATAATTTAGAGAAATTACTTATGTAAAGGAGCTTTTTATAAATTTATTTATACATAAATCAATTGTAGAGAAATTAAATTATATATTTCTTTTTTTTCACTCTTCAAATTCACCTGGACAAATTCATTTAACCAAGTTCATAATAATACATTAATTTCAAGATTCTAACCTAACAACTGCAATATTTATTATTATAACTATTGTGCTATTGAAAAAAAAAAGTAACTATTTTTCATCAACAATAATTTGTATTTCGTTTATGTTTATACTAATTTTATACATTAGTCAGAAGAAGAATTATGTATATAAATTAGTTTTAATAATTTGGATTCTAAGACTTGAATATGTAGAAATAAGTCCTTAGTGAATGTTTCATCACTACATGGTTAAAAATCATATGTATTCAAATTATTTGGTGGACTCAACTCTGTCACATTTGTTATTAATATATTTTAATAGAACAAGGAAAGAAGATGTATACAAATTATTGTTAGGTTTGACTCTTAAATGATATTAAACCTCTTTTATTGCACTAAAATAATCTTAGTCCTGGCTCTCAGTTACTTAACAAGCCATTCTATTTCCACTTGAGCGCATTCAAAACATTATTCACTTTAAAATTTAAACTTTTGATCATTATATTTTTATTTTTATAAAACATAATTTCACCGGAACTTCTATTCGACCATAACAATTTTCTAATAGAAATATAATTTTAAAGATACGTTACTTTATTTATTATTTTAATTATTTCTTTATCAACTATTTAAAAACTGTCATAAATAAGTTTTTTTATATCTATATAATAAGTATATATTTATATTAATTTTATTAGTTTATTGTTAACTTAAACATAGAGTTGCTTCATTTTTACTCATAAAATATAAATCTTATATTAAAATATTTAAAAAATATTTCAATAATCAATTTCAATTTAATTTGTTAGAATTAACTAAAAATATTAGTTTTTAATTATTTACTACTTAATTATATTATGATTAATTTATATAAGATTATATGTATTTGTTTATTTATTTATTTAAGGTTATATATATTATAAAAACCACATGTTACATGTATCAAATATTATAATTAAATATAATAAATTATTTTATTTTATAGAAACTTAAGATTTATGATTCTAATATTTTATTATAAGTATTCAAGATTGATGAATATTTTCTTTTATGATTTTCTTCGTCCAGTAAAATTTCTTCTTCAATCAAAGTCAGGTTAGGAACGTAACTTTGATATTTTGTTTGGATTAGAGAGTAGATTTGAATGATTGAAAAATATAAGAAAGAGAATCGAAAATGGAGTGGTGTAAATTAAGGGAAAATAGTAAAAATAAAATAAATTTATTCATTATTAATAAATTAATTTATTATTTTAATCTATTTTTAATATAATTTTGTAATTATTTATTATTATAATAATATAAAAACATAAAAAATATATTAAATAAAAAGTTTTCAAACATAATTAATTATAGTATTATCTATAATCGATTTTATATATATAATATTTAGAATTTAGGATTTACTTGCATAATTAATTATGAATAATCCCATAGATTATGTTTCAAAAAATATATATTTTCTCGGCTTTTCTTTGCAAACGAGAGATAAAGATTATTTTTTTCGATTTCTATAATTTTATTCTTAGACACATTTATGTACCTCCCACTCTGTCGTTGTTGGAAACAAATAGAGACTTAATCTTTAAAAAAAACTATAATGTAATTTTTAGATAATATTTAAGAATATTTATTAAATACTATAATATCGTTAATGAAGTGAGATAAGAAAATATTGATTTTAATAATTCTAAAATAATTTTAATATACTTATAATCTATCCATCCTTCCATTAAAAATATTTATATTAAAAATATTTTATAAATTAGATAAGCAAATATTAAGTTAAAATAATCTAACATTACATCACGTCAATTTAAAAAAAAAAAAAAACTTACATCCACATCAACTAATGTACCTTGTCATTGAGATAAATTATGAATGTCGGGGCTACGGGATTCAAAAACTAAAATTTATATATAAAAAAATTACGATATGTTGTGTTTTGGAAACAATTTATAGTGACTTTTTGAAGCGGAGAAACACTAACTGGTACCTTACACGATCATTGTTGGCAATGTTTATCCAACTTAGAGATGAATGAGAACATATTCCTGTTCAACGAAAGAAACTTGTGGTACCTTATCGAGTAGAATATATGGCATCATTGCATTCAACTCTGCTTATTAAAAATATGATGATGACTCCCAATTCAATCAGACAAAAGTGAATTTTTCCACACAGGAAAACCTTCATATGATATCATCCACCCTAAAAGTCACTGAAACTTTTCTTTCATTCTCATTTATAGTAATCATTATTCACCACCATATTTATTCAATTTAGGATCTTTCCCAGTTTATTAGAAAAGCAATCATGTTCATAGTGTGTTTCAAATTACATTTTTTCTTTTCTTTTCTTTTGTGAATTAATCAAATTTTAACGTTTTTAAATTCATTGAGAGATTATCTGTTTCTCATAATTTATAATTCTTTTCCAACTTAATGTGATAGGATAAATTTGTCAGAACTGACTAATTTAATTTTCATTTATAAAATTAAGAATATTGAAAGGAGTGCATGTAATCTAATTCATCTCGACTTATATAAAAATTAATTAGATAGGTTAATGTTGAGATGCAATTTGTATGGTTGTTTGTTGAAAAAATTATAAATTTTATGTTTAATTGTTATTCTCTTTGAGATATTTGTGTTAATTTTTTGGATTTATTATTTTATTGAAATCACTTAATAAATATATGGAAGAAATAAGGATATATAAAAAAATTGATGCAAATTTTGTATAATAATTATATTAAGAATCAACCTAATAAATAAAATTTATTATATCCATTGTTATCGTAAAATTATATATGGAAAGATTAAAAATTATATAATATTTGAAGTCTAATGATATGATAGTTGATTCATTGATATAAAAAGATTAAAAATTGAAACTTGAATAAAAACATGAATGATACGAGAAAAAAACTTATATTATATTTGTTAGATTGGTTGTGCTAAACCAAACTGAAAATCTTGTAATTTTTATTTTAGAAATGGGTATCAATACATATTAGTGATATTCAACGTCGATGCGTCGGTTCGGAACCGAGCGTTGTATCGGCGACGTTGAAAGTATGATTTTTTAAATTAATAATTTTTATTTATTTACAACCCCTTTACCCCTTTTATTTATCTAGAAGTCTCCCCTCTCTTTATATTATATTTTTTAGAAGTTTATTAATTTTCTAAGAAAATTGTCATTGGCGAGGATTCGAACCCAGTACTTTAGAGTTGGAGGTCGATACTCCAACCACTAAACTACTAGAATTTTCCGATAATAACTTACAAATAAATTATATTTATATACAAAAAAATATATATTCGTGTAAATATATAAATATATAAATACAAATATATTTTGATATTTTGATATATTTATATAGTTATATATTTATATGTTGGATGTGAGGACACACTCGAAAGTGAAAGTGTGTGTCGAGTGGGTTTTCAAAATTTGATGCTAAATTTGTGAGCAGGTATCTTTATATGAGTTTGTAATTTAATGACGGAATATAATCTTTATAATTTTATTTATATAATGATATAAAATAAATTTGGGAAACGCGTTATTTTCTCTTAAGCGAAAAATACCAATTTTCGTTCAAGCGAGACTTGAGTAAGTGAATTTCAGTGAGCTTTAACATATTTTCACTCAAGCAAGAGTCAATCACACTTTCACCCTCGATCGAAAAATACCAATATAATTTATTTGTAAATTATTATCAAAAAGTTATAGTAATTTAGTGGTTGTGATATTAACTTTCAACCCTAAAATACTGGGTTCAAATACTATTAGTGACAATTCATTAACTTAAGAGAATTTTTGGGTGAAAATAAAAATAAAAATACTTTCCGAGAAAATATATACAAATAAATATATATTTACATGGATATATATTTATTTGTATATAAATATAATTTATTTGTAAGTTGTTATCGAGAAAATTCTAGTAGCTTAGTGGTTGGAGTATCAGTCTCCAACTCTAAAGTACTGGGTTCGAATCTTGCCAATGACAATTTAAGTGAGTTTTTGGGTGAAAAAAAATAATAAAAAAAAAAGACTTTCCACGTCAGTTCATATGGGAACCGACGTGGAAAGTGTCAATAAGTAAAAAAAATAAAAATAAAAAGACTTTCAACGTCGGTTTATATGGTAACCGACGTAGAATGTGTTTACTATTCAACTTACAACGTCGGTTCATCTGGAAACCGACGTAGAAAGTATATTTTGTAGTAATGTATAGGAACTAATTTGTGTTAATTTTGAGTGATGTACCGTTTAAGTGGGTGGAAAAATGATTGTAAATTGTGTTTATTTCAAATAATATGCGAGGAATTGAAAATATGAACTTAGGAAGGGATAATTTAAGTGGGCGGAAAAACTATTGTAAATTGTGTTTATTTCAAATAATATGTGAGGAATTGAAAACATTAACTTAGGGGAGGAATAATATAAAACTTTGTCGTAAAGAGAAAATAAGAGAAGAAATACATTATAATTTTATACTATTATCTTCTTTTCAATATTTACTATAAGAGAGAATCGATTCTTCTCTAACAATAATAATTATCGGCACAATGAAATAATAATTGATTCTCCCTCTACCGAAAAATCGATTATCAATAACATAGGTAATAATCAATTATCATATTTAATAATAATAATAATAATAATAATAATAATAATAATAATAAATATATAAATAATAATTATTTTAATAATAAAATAATGATAATAAAAATAATTACTATAATAATATTTATAATAATAATAATTATATAAATAATAATGATTATATTAATAATAATAATTTAAATAAAATAATCATAATAAAAAATATAAATATTTATAATATTTTAAATTATAATAATAATAATAATAATAACATCTTTTATCAAAAGATAATTTAATTATTTCATAATTTATTTTATTAATTATTATTTATATAAATTAATATTCATAAATTTTCCTCTCATATTTTTTATCTTTCTTATCATATATTTTTTAATTCAAACAACTTCTTTTTTCTTTCAATTTTTTTTTCTTTTTTTTTCACTTTCTCAAATTTATTCTCCTATCCATACAAGGAAAAAAAAGTAGCGTTGATAAAACTTTGATTTTGAGTTAATAAATATTAAATCTTTGATAAAACAAATAGTTACTTGGGTGTTTGCAAGTAGTAAGTAAGTAATTATTAAAACCTATGATTAAAAACTTAAACACGTACAAGTAGTAGTGCAGTAACAGTTGTGAGTGTCAAATCAAGTTTTGAATTCTGTCTAAGCACATATGTAATTATTACTACATATTTTAATTTGAGAAGAAGTATTATTGTGAAAAAAACAACAACTTTTGGCCTTTTTGCTTGGTGGTTCCAATGAAATGGCGCCCGAGTCGACCAATGGCCGAGAACACGGGAAGCATGAGCAGTAAAATGCTTGGTTCATCACCCTCTGGAAGTGGCATAAGAGCAAGTTGAATATGCAGTGTAGTATTATTATTACTATATCTATATGTATATGTAATGTGTCACTTTTAAGATAAAAATGGAGTCGCCCCGGGAAACATGAGTGCGTAAAGCAGTGGCGACGAATACGCATCATCCTCTGCGTTCTACCACATCTAGACCGGCAGCACCTACGCACCCTTTCAATTAGCATCCAATGCTATTTCCGTTTTCTCTTTCTTCTTCTACTTCCCACTCTTAATTACTCTATCATGCATGCTATTATATCATTACCCTTCCACCACATCTTCTTCTTCCATATTTACATATCTAAGATTATTTCTCTCACACCCTTTATTTATTTATGTTCACTGTATAATTTGTTTCTGTTTTATTTTAAAAAAACACTTAAATCAAATATAATTTTAAACATATTTTAGTTTTCATTCTTCATTTTTTTTAATCGAATAAAATAAAATTAATATTTCATAATTTTATTTGAATTATGTTTTACGATTTTTTATTATAAAATTATTAAACATATTATAATCAAATATTCTTCAATAAAAGAATATATAATATAAAACTATCATATATATATATATATATATATATAATTATCATATTTATAGTTTAAATTTATTTTAAATATTTTTAAATTTAATTAAAAAATAATACATATTCTAACTTATAAGAAACTAATTAACTTATATTTTATATTTTAATTTTAAGAATATATATTATAATCTCAATTCAATTCAGTTTGAATTAGTTTTTATCCGCCAAATTATAAAACAAATCATTGATTTTAAAAATTTTCAATCTAAAAAAATTTTAAAAGTTTTGTTTTAATCATTTTCTTAAAAAAAAATTTGTTGAATTTTATTTTATTTTTAGACTAGTTCCATTTTAAATATCTTTAATGCTTATTTTTGTTAGAAAAATTGTATTTTACTAATTTTTTTACTAATACTATTGATTAATTATTTTATTACATTTTGTTATATTATTAACAAAATAAATAACACAAATAATAGTTTATTTGATTGGTAACTCAAAGAAATAATATGAATCAATGAATATGAGGTGACACTAGTTAGATGATCATAATGCAAATAAAATTTAAAGGTGACACTTAGGTCTCATATTTTATTAAATGTTTTATTTTAAATATAATAATAATAAAAATGATGGTAATTTAGTTAATGTTTGAGAAGTGATTTAGTAGTTTTATTGAGAAAGTTTAATTTCGTGTAGGGTCTTTTGTGAGCGGTAGTTATATTTCAATTTTCAAGGGCTGGTCTTAATGTTTTTAGTGATATTATATTTATTTATTTATTATAAAAAAATAATACATAACTTATTTTCTTTATTACTGTAATCTTAAAAGTCTACATCAATTTCTACAAGAGATAGTTAAAATTATTAGCAATTCAAAAAAAATGTAATAGTAAAAAAAAAGTTGATATAGCAATTTATTAAGATTTTGTTACTTTTAAATTTTCAAAAACTTAAAGTATTGTTTTACTATCGATATATAATCTAAATTTTTAATATTTTACTTCTATTTTTCTTTATCTTATTTTTGCTCTTTTTCTCATCGTCTCAGTAAGACTTGAAGTAAATTGTTAAAGACTCAAAAGATAAATAATATCAAATTGGTGAAGATTTGTAATAGTTGAAAATTAAAGAAAAAATGATTTAATTTTAACATTATTGATGTTAAAAAGTGGGAGAAGAACACTTATTAATGTTTAAAACCCATCACAATTGTAATTTCAATCAATAATATGAATATAACAACTTTAATAAATATTATTATTAAAAGAGAACGTCAAGCATAAGATACATCAAGTAAAATTTCTAAAATATTAAGTATCAATACGATCATTGTTTTTAAAAATTGACTAAATAATAGCTATAATTTTCTTTTTATTTTTTATTTCATATTAATCATATCAATTTTAAATAACAACTATAATTCATTATTATTATTATTATTATTATATATTTTTTAAATTAGTTATTAATTATTTATTATTTTATAGAAAATTATATTAAAAATTCGATTAGATTCAATTCAAACTCAAATAAATTTTTAAATCTAAACACATATTTTTATCGTTTTAACGATAAATTTAAAATTTTAAATCATATTTTCGTCCGTGATCGATTAAAATTTTAAAACACATATATGATATATTTATGATTTCAGCGATAAATTCAGAATTTTAAATTTCAAAGTGATCTATTAAAATTTAAAAACATTGCTTATGGCTATAGTTAATGAAGTTATTATTTTAATTTTTTAAGATTAACTATGGCATGTTACCATATTATGCTTTGTTAAACTGTACTAGGGTTGATGTATTACTACGGTTGATATAATTAACTATGAATAAATTCAACCGCCCCTTCTTGTTTACGACCAGATCCATGCATACGGTCAAGAAATTTATGTTATCGATGGAAGTGATTGTATATGAGGCGTATGAATCGGTTCATTATAATATTTAAAAAACAATAATTATTGGGTCATTCAAACTTGAGAGGTGTGATGCATTCAAAGCTCAAACCGCAAGTTTAGTTTTTTTTTCTTATTATTATTATTATTAAAAAGGAATGTGAAAAAAAAAATGTTTAAGAGATTCAAATATGAACATTTAAAAAATTCATTAATGTATAAATAAAAGCATATTAAAAGTAATTATATGAAAGCCGTGTGAACAAAATGAGTTAAAGTCAAAATGTTCAACTGTATCTACCACGATAATAATACTTTCTACAAATCAAATTAATAAATTACATAAAGTAAAACAAGTAATAATATAACAAGAACAAATATACAAGGCTTGTTACAAAGTTTTATTTAAACAAGTTATTGTTTATTCATTGAACGTGTGACTGATCCTTACATTTTTCACGCATAAGTTGAGTCTCAGATGAACCACACCTACATGGTTGTCTCTCCTTCGAGGAAGCAGTGCATGACACACGTATAGTTGAAGGGTGGAGAGATAGATATGCACGTATTAATGGCTGATTTGTTGGTTCTTCGGTGCATCACCAAAGCAAGCAAACTAGATTTTTTTTTTCTTTATTTGAAGAGCTTTGCATGATATGGTAGTATTGTTTGCTTTGAGGGCGAATATGGGTCCCTAGCCCTTACAAAAATACACTGTACACTAACTGTGTGAGACGTGGCCTCTCATCGTTACGTTTCTTAATGGAGACACCTGGTATATGATATGCCACCTTCTCTTTGTTTTTCTTCTTCCTTCGACTACACCTACTTGTTTGTTTGCTACCTGTAAATTTACTTCTTCTCTTCGTAATGTCTTTCGTTTTCTTGGATGTGACGTATTGATATATATCATCAAATATTATCATATATAATGAAGATATAAATTTGATTTCGTAAAGTTAAATTAAATATTCTCTTATTTTTAATATAATAGAATTTGTTATTCTATTATTTTATTTATTATTGAACCATTATTACACTATCTTTTAACAATTCAGTTCTACATTCTCAAAATATATATTAATTGTTCAGTGTGAAAAAATGAGTTAAACATCCCACATTGATTAAAAATATAACCAAACGATGATATATAATGTGAAGTTCAATGTCTATATGGTTGCCTTGTAGCTCTGCATGTAACGCTGTCCATTAGTAATGAAATCTATCACAACTAAAATTCTAAAATATTATGTCATCAATTATAGTGGGTAACCATAACAAAATTATTGGAAATGAGAAAGAAAGAGAGGAGGTACAAGTATAAAAAAAGGAGAATAATTTCCTTGTGTTTTTTCATTTTTGCTTTAGTTTTAAAAAATTAAATAAATTATTCATATAACATGTGTACCTAGAGTTAAAACAATAAATAATTTATTGTCATGAAAATAAATAACGCAGTGAAAACTTTTTTTTTAAGTCATAAATTCGTTGTCATAGAACTTGTTTTCTTCACTTTCTATCAATCTATATAATATCTTCTATGCTCTATATATCTTTTTTGTGCTTCCATGGTTTTCTTTATGCTTTTCCTCTATTCTGAATGGAGGACTAATGTTTTGCAATGTATAGAAGCATCGAAAGGATTTGATCATGAGCAAGTTTAAGATTAATTTGTCAATGACAATTTTTTTTGTAGATATGAAGAATTAAATAAGAATGTTTTATAATGATAAAACACAATATATATATATATATATATATATATATATATATATATATATATATATATATATATATATATATATATTTGTGTGTGTGTGTTTGTGTCCACATTAATAATTTAAGTTAATTTCAATTAATAGTGTATACGGATGAAAATATACACAAGTATAACTCTTAATATGGGACAAATATTTGTAGGGTTGAAGATTCTAGAAATACATTGTTTAATTTTAAATTTTTATTTTTGGAAGTTGGAGTTGTTTCAGGATGATTCCTTGAGAATTATGATAATTTGGAATTGTAACAAGGCTAAGAGCTGTCAATATGCGAGCTTAAAAAATGGTCTTAACTATTATATAAACGGACTTTGACTAAAACTTTGTCGTGTAGCGTGTTGGTTACAATGCAAATTAGCGTCAATTATGGTTGTCATATTTCTGTCACAGGAATGTAAATTTCTCATCCAACATGAAAAACAAAGAACACCAACAAATTTACTTTTAGTTTTTGTTTTTTCTTTCATCTCACCACCAATAACATCAAAAACAAAACCACCACTTTGATCTCTGTTATTTTATTTGTGGTAAAAATCCTGAAAAAAAAGGATAAAAAAAAGATTTTGGCAGGGTACAAGTTGTGTACGTACACAATGAATATATCTTTTGCAGGTGTATATATATATATAGCTTTGAGTAATGTGTAGCTTAGCTAGGTTGATTCTCTTGACGCAGCAAAGCAACCAGCAAGTTGCATATAAAACCTCACTGCTACCTTTGCTTCTTCTTGTCTATGTATCCCCTTCCTAACGCCATGTGCCATCACACGTGCTAACTGCACCAGACAACACGAATGTGCAAACTGCTTCTCTGCTAACAATTTCCACACTTAAATCTACCTCCTCCATTAATATATTCAAATCAAAACGTGCCTCTGTGTTTCCACAAACATCATTTTTAAAGAGACAATAACAAGGTGTTGGTTTTGTTTTGATTTACACTTTGCAAGCATGGTTTTAAGTTTCAAGTTTCAAGCACACGTCTTTAAGCCAATAACTAAATATAATATGCAGAAGATGATGATGTTCCACCTCCACCACCCTAAAAATCTTAGACGTTTGGAAAATAGACAAACATGTATGATGATGGTTAATATGATAATGTGTTGAAAGTGGATCTTGATCTTGATCATGATGGGGGTGTGATTAAAGTTATTGAAGGATGATAATGATGATGATGATGAGGATGAGGATGAGGATGAGGAAGTAGATTCTTAATCATCCTTCTCATCTTCTTTCTGTAAAGATTAAGCTCTGGCTTTTGACCATTGACCCAGAGGCACGTGCACCGCATCCTTCTTTTCGTTCAAAACGCAGAAACGATGATTTCGGCGACGCACGTGCACTCCCTTGTCCCGACATACACTAACATAATCATGCCTTAACTCTCACCTTTGCATTCTTTATTCTTCCTTCACTTTTTTAATCTCCTTTTAATGCCCCTTCAATTAATCCCACGGTTAATTTTAATCTAAACCCACGTTAATGATATCACACAAATTCAAGTGGTACCCACCATGCACGTGACCATGCCTACACTGTAACTTCATTTTTAAGCTTTTTTAACCTCTTTGGCAGAACCAAGTAGTAATTTATTATCACCAACTCATGCTATCACAGTTGTTGCTTACTCAACACCGCCATTTAACATGCACGATCAAAATAAACTATCAAACTTTGATTTCACTCATTTTACATTGATTTTATGTTTCTTTTTTTATATGAAACAGACATTTATTGATTATTGATAACTCAGTATACAGTACAGTACTGGTTTACATTTTTAACATTTTGTTTTGCATGTATGCGAAAATTATTTTGGTCTTAGTTTTCATAATCTGAGAACTTAATTCCAAAATTTAAAAAGATTTGACTTTTCTGGGGTCTGTTTTTGGTTCGTGCTTTTGTTTAGGCTGGTCTCAGAGTCTCCCCTTCATTGAAAAATAAATAAATAAAAGTTTTAAACTTAAATTATTTAAAGATTAAAATAGATGTTTTTTTTTAATTATAACTATATGAGGAAACATGGAAAAGAAACACCATGGCATTGATCATAGGTCACGTTTATAAGATGGCACTATTAAAATTCACAATAATATTTAACTTTTACTTTATGGTGGGGGACAAATATATTGTAGATTTAATTATATTTTTATGAATTTAGTGAATACGAATCATCCATTTAAAAGATTTTCCATTGTCAACTAATTATAAAATAATTTTTATATGATCACTTTTAGATAGTTATTGTAAAAATAAATAATTTTATCATAAGATTAATTTGCAATTCAATATCAATGTAAAAACAAAATTGCATTGTAATTGCATGCATTTTTTTTCTCTTTCTTGATAAAATGATAATATAATTAAGAAATGTATAACATTAATATTGTGAGTGCAACTCTCTATAGTTTAAAATAAAAACTTTTTGTTTATTATCTCTCAGTATCAGGCCTCAGAATAAAGGTTCACATTTCTTTGGTCCATTGTAGATCTTGGGCTGGGTCTCACTATGGGTACATACACAATAAATTAATTTTGCAAGTTATTTATTTTACTTTATGTCTAGCCATGTCAATGGAATTGGTCCCAAACTTTATAATATCAAAGTTAAAATTGAAAGTATATTTTGAATGATAATCAGAATAGACTTAAGGGAGGAGTGTAATTAGCAAGTAGGTAGTTTGGGAAACAAAAAATGAGAAAAAAGGTGGATTAGCATAAAGGGAGGTGTGAATAGTAGTGACCTAAAATTGCAATGCAATGCATATCTCGTCCATTTCATATGGTATATGACAAATGGGCTTTGTTACTTCTTACCATTTTGTTTCTAAGTTCACTACAAAATTTCCAATTTTATTTTGTAATACAAATGCCTTGAACAGAAACTCTTTTCATTGTGTATATTGACAGTATATTTTCATATAAACAATGGAAAAATGTCTATTCAAGGGTATTTTACTGTTAAATTTTAAAAATATTGGAAGTGAACTTAAAAATCACGGGGCGTGGCGATAGTAAGTACTTAATAGATAAATAGCCCTCTTATCATAGATAGACCCAGCACTGGGCTTAGTTGTTAACACGTTTAGATTTTGGGCCACTCGTATGATATAAAAAAAAAAAAAAACAGAGACAAATGAAACAAGTTATTTAAATTAAAAAAGCTAGTAATTTGTCAGGGTTTGTTATTATAAATGTTGTAATCAGAAAAGGGCCAAACGTGAATTCAAGGTAGAGAGGGTAGAAAGAACCATTGAAACTACCTACGGTTGAAAATGCAAATGGCAAAGAAGATGATGCATAACTACGACCCCAGCACCCTTTGGCAATTATCACACGCCATACACAAAAGTCCAAACCTGGCCCTCACCTTCGACCCTTCCTTGGAAAACCCGATTAAAGCACTAATACAATAGTCCTAAAATCAAACAATCGGGAAACTCCCAAAACAAAGCTTTGAAAATCATCATATACAACGCTTTTTTTTATTCTTTTTACTATATTAAAGTCTCTGTCAACACAATTCTGGACTTACCTTATCATACGTGTGTACTGCGACATGAGTTTCACTGGAATTGGTCTTGCTTCTTCTACCTGATAGGGAGTTGAAGTTTGTAGCTTTGAACAATCAAATGGATGCAATCCAAACAGAGAAAGTCTATGTTGCTGTTGGTAATGACGCGCAAGATGGATTTAAGACTTTGAATTGGGCTCTCAAGAAATGGAATTCTCATCCAATTTCCGTTGTCATCCTCCATGTCACACACACTACTCCCATGGATTATGTCCATACACCATG